ACACAATGACACATTCTCATTTGTGGTTATCTTGAAAATAATGGCCTGTTTTTTTCTTCCTATTTACTTTAAAGTCCCCTGGTAAAGAAATTTCAGCTAATAAAGAACAGTTAATAAAAGTTAAGAAGGTAAGCCCATAAGAGAAAAAGGAACTTCAAACTGAATAAGCATACTCTAATACAATAGAGGACCCAGACTGTCTAGTAAAAAGATTTGGAGTTCTCATGGTGCCACCTAGTGGACATTTGCTATAAATTTTACGCAAATTTAAATTACTTTTAATTAGACTTTCTATATTTTGTCAATTTTCACTACTTGTAGTGTATAGACTTTAAGTTTGTCTTAAGAATATATTTAGGTTATTAAGTAGCCAATAAACTTAACAATATTACTTTTAAAAATTATTCTCCCTCAAAGCATTAACTTTAAATCAACTTAGCGAAAATAACACAAATAAAAAGTTAAAAAAAAGGTATTTTAAAACAGAATTTTTTTCAAGCTTAAATAATTACATGCCTTTCCAATTATCTCCCTAACATAATATAATGTTTATTACATTTAATAACAAATATAACCTACATTATTCTATTCAACACATATTAATTATATTTTCATGTTTATCTACATAGTGCAAAAACATTATTACCCTACCATCAAGTAAACACACAAATCTTGGACTAAGAGTTCTTTTACAAGTTCTCTTACATAGACCAGCAAGAGATGCCATTATCTTTGAAATGTACATCTCATTTACTCTAAAATAGCTAATTCAAGACAGCCTAATAAATCATTCTAGAGTCTACAATATTTAAAATAAGCACTTAGAAGCTTCTAACCCAAAATTTTTAGGCAAAAGAAAAAAAAATACAGATTTAACTATACAGGAGACATTTAAAAATATTCACGTTTAAGATCTGCTACATATAAGATGTTGATCTCTCAATTTATATTTGTGGTTATGATCACCTAATTATTTTCTCTTATTTGCTACATACACCTGGAAAATGTCCCTCCCAAAACAGCAAAGGAAGTAAAGTAATGTATTAGGAAGAGGAAATGACACAGGTTACCAGATGAGACTATGCCAACATCAAAGGCTCCAATATCAAGGCCAGCATGGCAGTAAAGCAAACTACATCCTTCAAACAGGCCAACAGATGAGAGAAACATGTCAAGAAGCTCAATTCCCATGCATCGTTTTGGTCAGGTTTCCACAAATGTCAGAAACTTCATAGCTAAGTTTAATACAGCAAATGATGGAAGTTTAAAAAGGAAATAAGATGTTAATCAATTAAGCCTTTCATCTTTGAGAAAATATATAGTTTAATTTCCCTCATCAAAGGGAGATCAAGAGTAACCAGCATTTCATCTTAAAAACATAAAACGATATTAACTTTTTATCTAAAAACCTACTGAAGAACTTTATAATTTTCAATTTCATATTAGATAAAATGTACTTACCAGTTAATTACCAAATTATTGGTTTCACAAAACCTTAAAGGGGTTTCCTCTATCCCACTGTACTATAAAATAATAATTTTTAAGCCACTACTAGTAATACAGCTTTTTGTTTTCCTCGGAAAACTTTCTTTCAAGGTAACTTAAAACTTGTTGATTGCATTTTTATGGTACTAATAAAAATAATGATCACTTAGCCTCCACATCTGTTCTCTGAGAGGTGATACACTTGCCATGTCATTCTAACTCCACCTGAAGGACCTTGAAACAGCAGATTATATATTAAGATGTGCCCTTCTGCCTCATTCCACCAGCAAACTAAATCAGAAGTATGAAAAATGAATCACCTTCAAAACACCATTTAAAATACTGCACTCAGAGGAGTTGTTATTGACTGAATCACCTCCTCACATTTTGGCTCTAAAAGCACTTGCCAACCACAATCCCTCTACAACCCTCCATTTCCCTGCAGACCTGCGGGGCTTGGCGGGCTGCCCGCTTCTCTGCCCTTGTACTGGAGGCTCTCTCCCTTGCCTGTCTCTAGGGTGTGCAGACCTTTTGGTATAAAAGTAAATCTTACACTTGCCCAGTATGCCAGACAATTTCATGATATTTAAAAATCATTTCCCATGCCTTAGCTGGTTTCGTTCAGTGGATAGAGTCAGCCTGAGAACTGAAGGGACCCGGGTTTAATTTCACTCAAGGGCACATGCCTCGATTGTGGGTTCAATCCCCAGGAAAGGGTGTGAAGGAGGCAAATGATCAATGATTCTTTCTCATCATTGATGTTTCTCTCTCTCTCACCCTCTCCCTTCTTCTCTGAAATACATATATAGCGACGGGGGAGGTGGGGCGAGGCGGAAAATACATAAAATACACACACACACACACACACACACATTAAAAGTCATTTCTCCTCTATCCCAGGCCAGGTAGCTCAGTTGGTTAGAACGTTGTCCCAATATACCAAGGTTGTGAATGCAATCCCAGACAGGGCACATACAAGAATCAACCAATGAATGCATAAAGAAGTGAAACAACAAATTGATGTTTTTCTTTCTCTATCCCTCTCTCTCCTTTTCCTGTTTCTCTAAAAAAATCAATTAAAAACATTTTTAAGTCATTTCCCCTCTCAGATAGTAATAAATTTGCAAGCTGTCTGACACTCCAATCTGTATTTATCAACCAAGTGTCTTTCAGCAGGATTAATCAATCAGACATAGAGGTGTTTAAAGGGAAGGTAAAATAATGTAAGTATCAACAACATTTCCATTTCCGTGTTTTTCATTCTTAATGGATCAGTGTATTTTAGAATGGTAATACAGTTGGAAAACTAAACTATGCCCTGAAAGGATAAAAATGTCATTATTTCTCTCAGGTATCATTAAGTCTTTTCCTGATTTTTTAACAAAAATGTTGCCCCTAATTTCTCTTAAAGCATATTCCTAAAAGATAAAGCCTTCCAAAGGAAAGCCATCTGTTTGAAATTTCACAGACAAACTCTTAACTGCTTTAGGTAGGGCAGCCCATACTTCCCAGTTTGTCTGAGGAAGCCTTGGTTTATGCCTATTATTTTATTGTAATTCTCAAAAATCTACCAGACTGGACAATAAATTACTAACTCACCTTAGCTTTAGATGTCTCTTTTAACCTGGATACAGCCACCTTTCTACCCAGAAAAGTCGTTCCTAATAATGCACTTCCCTTTCCCTCCTAGACCATGGCAAGGGACAAAAGACCTCTGTATTGCTCCCATCCCTGATTATTTTACACTAAAATGGGCTCCTGAAACACCCTTCTCACAAGGCAGATTCCCACCTAGCAACAAGGTCTTATTATGGCTGTCAAAAAAATATAACCAGCCCTATCTGGTTTGGCTCAGTGGATAGAGAGTCAGCCTGCAGACTCAAGGGTCCCAGGTTCAATTCCAATCAGGGGCATGTACCTTGGTTGCGGGCACATCTCCAGTGGGGGGTGTACAGGAGGCAGCTGGTTGATGTTTCTCTCTCATCAATGTTTCTGACTCTATATCCCTCTCCCTTCCTCTTTGTAAAAAAATCAATAAAAAAAAAAAAAAAAATATATATATATATATATATATATATATATATATATATATGTTTGTTTGTTTTTTAAAAGGAGAAAAGAAACTTTTCTGCAATTTCCAAGAGCTATTCTCCTCATTGAATACAAATATTTGTCCTACTTGTCCTCTACTGGACATCATCAAATCAGCATTTTACAGGCAGAAAACACACTCTTCCTCTTTCTCAGGAGGAGAGTAACTCTGAGGCAATAGCCAGATCAGGTTATTCCATAAGTCACCTCCCAAGGAATCCAGTTCTAGAAAGAGAATCACATTCAGAACTCAAGCAGACACTACATTTTCCAAGACCTAACAAGGATCTCAGATAAAAACAGATCATGGAGAACAGATATATTTTTCCAAAAAAAACATGACAGACTGTAAAATAATATTACTGTCAACAATATTTTTCTATGACTTTGGCTGATTCAGGATGGAGTCAAAGTTAATGAGGAGGACTCGATGGATACTTTGCTTTTAAGTCAACAGGAGCCACCATGAAAAACAATAAAAGTTAATTACTTCTCAATACAGTAAAACCAAATCTAATTACATATTTTTAAATGCTCTCCCCATCCCTATTTCCTAAATCTTTTTTTAATTCCAAAGTTTTAAAAAAAAAAACTAGCTAAGGAAATCCAAAAATTCAAAAAGTGTTTAAAATCTTCATTTAAAAAAATCAAGGCTGGCTTAATAGAAAAATAAAATAAAAGATTATGCATTCTTTAATTAAAATTATTATAAGTACAAAAATTGATTTTGTTTACTCATATTATTATAAAACATATCAAAAACACTAAAACTGCCTTAAATTATTTTTCTGGGTACATAACTAAACTTTTAAAGCCAGTCATAAAAAATTACTTGTCTAAAGATCATATGCTGAATAAATTTAACCAAGGCATTCTTACTATAGAAAATACAAATTCTGCCGGGACCGGTTTGGCTCAATGGATAGAGCGTCAGCTTGGGGACTGAAGGGGCCGGGGTTCGATTCCGGTCAAGGGCATGTACCTTGGTTGCGGGCATATCCCCAGTAGGGGGTGTGCAAGAGGCAGCTGATTGATGACTCTCTCTCATTAATGTTTCTAACTCTCTATCTCTCTCCCTTCCTCTCTGTATAAAATCAATAAAATATATTTTTTTAAAAAGAAAGAAAATACAAATTCTGAACACTCATACCACATTTCATCAAATTGAAGATGTCATTGATTGTAGAGGGAATCATTAGTTTATATATTACTAAGAAAGAAAAAAGCTGTCAATTAAATGCAAGATATCATCATCCCACTATCATGCACCCAATATCAATTATATAAATGTGAAAAAAAGTAAAAAGAATCTTAGAATTAATTATGTATTCCCAAATTCCTATATCCATTTTTTTTTGGCAATGTGAATATGATTTAATCTTCTACACTAAAAACCACTGAAATGAAAAAAAAAAATCTCTTACCTTCTGTACTATACTCAAGAAAACTATCAGTGAGTGAATCTGAATAAGCTTCAACAGGACCAATCAATTCAGAACCATCATTAATTATTCCACCCTAAAAAGAACAGAGTAATTGTGTGTCATTCACAATAACAGTATTTTAAAAAATCAGTAATAAATGAACTATAGACTTCTCAACAGTGTATTGTATAAAGATTACAAAAACTAATTATCTATTAAATAAGATTACAATTGCTTTTTAAAAAATCAACAGAAATATCAATGTTGGCTCATCAATGTTTACAAATGTACCAAACCAATACAATATGTTAATAATAAACTCTGTGAGGAAGGAGGGAAATATATGGAAAAACTCTAATACTTTCTGCATAATTTTTCTGTAAACTATTCTATAATATAGTCAATTATTTAAAAATTCAATAGGAATACTATCATGTTTATAATACTACATGGCTTTTTATAAAAGCAAATTTTTAAAAATTTCTCAAATGTATTCATTTAAAAGTACAGAAAAAGAAAACATGCACCAGTTAAAGAATATTGTTCAGAATCCTTAGTCATTCCAATTAGTGATAAATGATGAACTCCATTAGAAAGTTATGTAATTTTGCCGAAACCGGTTTGGCTCAATGGATAGAGCGTCGGCTTGGGGACTGAAGGGTCCTGGGTTCGATTCCGGTCAAGGGCATGTACCTTGGTTGCGGGCATATCCCCAGTAGGGGGTGTGCAAGAGGCAGCTGATCGATGACCCTTGTTCTCATCGATGTTTCTAACTCTCTATCTCTCTCCCTTCCTCTCTGTACAAAATCAATAAAATATATATTTAAAAAAAAAAAAAAAAAGAAAAAAAAAAGAAAGTTATGTAATTTTGTCAAATTAAAAACTACAATATATCACACAGCTCTTCAGGAAAACCCAGAAGTTACTTAAATTTGAAAACCACTTAAATACAATAAAGTAAAACTAAATAAGTTTAAAATATTTTTATTAAAAAATACAATTTTAATATAAAATTGATTTCTCAATGTGACAATCATTTTAGTTCTATATTTAAGTTTGCAAATTTAAGCCTAAAGGACTACTTTCTCTTACTTACATGTAATTAGAGAATGCTAGTATCAGGCAAGTGATAGTGGTGTGATTCTGTGCCATGACTTTATACACTGCTCCAACCAGAAATATATGGGCTTATAATCTTTGAAAAAGTATAACTAATTAAAATAATAGCTCTTCTCCTTAACATCTTTTCTCTACCTTCCACCAGCAGTTCTATGCCCCCAAACATTATTTCCCAGATAGCAAAACCCAAGAGAAATATAAAACCCCAATTTCCTATCTCTGTCAGCACAAAGATTTCAACAACTATCTTTACCTAATCAAAAGTCTTCCTGCCAGCCATGATCAGATGGGTCAGTGGATTGGAATGTCGTCCTGTACATTAAAAGGCTGCGGGTTCAATTCCTGGTCAGGGCACATACCTAGGCTGCAGGTCTGATACCTGGTCAGGACCATCTCTGGTCAGGATGAGTACAGTAGGCAACCGATAATGTTTCCCTCTCAATGTTTCTTTCTTTTTCCTCTCTTCTTCCCTCTCTCTTTCTCTCCCTCTTTCCTTCCCATCTTCCCTCCCTTCTTCCCTCCCTCCCCTTATTCCTCTCCAAGATCAATAAACATGTCCTCAGGTAAAGAAATAAATAAATAGATAAATAAATAAATGTGTTCTATAGGCACTAAAGGGAAGTAGTAGAATAATATGCCACAATTCTATTTTAAATCTCTAGTTCAAACATTAACCTTTTAGTGTTCCTGATTATGCAGTAAAAAGAAACTCTTATTATATAGTTTCTCAAAGTTTTTGTTAATGAAAGTCAGTCTGAAGGGGAAGGAGTTTAGATATGGTAAAATAAGTAGATGAACAAATGCTCACCGCAAAAGACAATAATATAACTAGAGAAAACTGTCTAAATAGCCATTTGAGATTCTGGAACTTGACCAAAAACATAAAGCAAGTGAAGACGTGATTACTCATGAAAAAACACAAAACCCCAGGTAAGAACTCTGGGAGTCTGTGGCATTCTTGCCTGAGGTTGCTCCCATCTTCCATCCCAGGTGGGTGGTCAAGGTAATTATATAAGAGCAACACAAGCCTTGAAAACCATCAGATTCACTTGTAGATGAAGTTGCCATGATTTTGATTGAAGCACAGAAAAAAAAAATCTACCCAAAATAGCATTATCAGTAATAGCAGCAATTTTAGTGCCAAACAAATGGCACGGAACAGTGAGCGGCTCAGCAAGCATAGGCTGCAACAAGCAAAGGACCAGAACATTAGCCAGACATTTACCAGGGAGATCCAAAAAATAACACAACCATAGGGATTCTTAATAAGCATTCTAACCATCCCTACAGGAGAGACCAGAGATGAATCAAACTATCTACAGATCCCTGGCAAAACATGAGATGGAGCATATACATAGAGGAAAGACATCCCAAAGGAAAGTAAGACCCAGGGCAAACTCAAAAACTGCTTGAACTTTGAAAACACACAAAGAATCATCAGCATAAAGAGAAGAATATAAGAAACAAAGTTTTTAAGTATAAGCTAAGACCAAACACTGGCTGTCCAATAAACTAAGATGATATAGAGCTAATTCCTACAAAGCCAGATTTAAAAATACAAGAAAGATTAAAAACTAACCTTAAGTATCAGCAGTCACATACTATGCATTAAACTAATTCCACAGATTTAGTACAGCTATGTTAATAAACATACTAATAAAACAATGGCAACAATGCTCAGGGAGGAAAAAATCAGAATTCAGAATTGCTGTAATATATATTAACCAAAATTTCCAGCTTTGAACAAAAAATAATAAGACATACAAAGAAACAGGAAAAGTGTGTGTTCCATACAGTAAGGGATGGGAGAGGAAACAGTCAATATAAGCTAACTCTGAGAAGGCAAAGATGTTAGATTTAGAAGGCAAAAAATTCAAAGAAGCTTTTTATAAATATGTTCAAATAACTGAAGAAAATAACAATTAAAAAATTAAAGGAGCCCTAGCTGGTTTGGCTCAGTGAATAAAGCGTCAGCCTGCAGACAGTCTCGGTTTCAATTCCGGTCAGGGGCACATGCCTGGGTTGCAGGTTCAATCCTCGGTAGGGGGCATACAGGAGGCAGCCGATCAATGATTCTCATCATTGATGTTTCTCTCTCTCCCTTCCTCTCTGAAATCAATAAAAATATATTTTTTAAAAGAATCCATTTAAAACGGAAAATATAATAACTATGACTCATAAAATAGCAAACATAAATAAGTAGAAATTATTTTTTTAAAACAAAAAACAGTGAAGCACTATCATAGAGTCAAAAGTGGAGACAATACAAATGTATATCAACTAATGAATGGATAAACAAAATCCACTTAATAGAAAGAAATGAAGTACTGATACATGCTACAATATGAATGAACCTTGAAAATACTGAACTCTGAGAAAGAAGCCAGTTGCAAACAGCTACATGTTGTATGATTCCATTCATGTGAAATGTTCAGAATAGGCAAATCCATCAAGATGGAAAGTAGATCAGTAGTTGCTAGGGGGTGGGGCATGGTGGAGAAGAAGTGAGGTTTCTTTATGGGTTAATAAAAATGTTCTGAAATCAGGTAGCAATAATGGTTGTGTAACATAGTGAATATACACCAAAAGCCACTGAACTGTACACCACTTTAAAATGGTGAATTTTGTTATGCCAATTAATCTCAATTAAAAATAAAAGAACCAGCCGGGACCGGTTTGGCTCAATGGATAGAGCATCGGCTTGGGGACTGAAGGGCCCCGGGTTCGATTCTGGTCAAGGGCATGTGCCTTGGTTGCGGGCATATCCCCAGTGGGGGGTGTGCAAGAGGCAGCTGATCGATGACTCTCTCTCATTGATATTTCTAGCTCTCTATCTCTCTCCCTTCCTCTCTGTACAAAAATCAATAAAATATATTTTTTAAATAAATAAATAAAAAAAACAGATAGAAATCCTGCAGTTGAAAGGTATTGTATCAAAATTTTTAAATTTACTAGAGTTCAATAACAGATTTGAGAAAGAATAACCAATGAATGTAAAGATCAATAGAAACTATCCAGTATGAAGTTCATAGAAAAAAAGACCAAATAATGAGAACCAGGGAGAAATATGAAATGATATCAAGCATACCAACTTACATGTAAGGTCGGGGGGGGGGGGGGGGGGGAATAATCCAATATAAGAGAAAGGGGCTGAAAAAGAAATATTTGAGAAACCAAGATGGCGGCATGGGTAAACACCTGATCTTGCTGCCTAGCACTACTACTTCAAAACTACAACTAAAAGACAAAACGGACATCATCCAGAATGACAGGAAGGCTGGCTGAGTGAAAATTCTACAACTAGAAGGGAAGAGAAAAGCATACTGAGACTCAGAGTAGCTGCGGAAGTAAAGGCAGAGGTACAGAGACACATACAGGTTGCAGGCTTGGTCCCAGGCCCCAGTCTGGGCTTATGAGAGAGGCAACCAATCAAATTCTCTCTCTCACATTGATGTTTCTCTCTGTCTCTCCCCCTCTCTAACACTCTCTCTAAAAATCAATGGGAAAATATCCCTGGGTGAGGATTAACAAAAACAAAACAAAACAAACAAAAAAAGGATTAAATATTCCTCCAATCAACAACAGTCATTTCCTGACTGCTTAAAAAAGAAGATCAAACTATACACTGCATGTAAGAAATACCCTTATTTAATAACACAAATAGATAGAAAGCAAAAGAATGAAAAAATAGGTACAATGCAAACAGTGACTGAAAGAGACCAATATTAAAATCATACAAAGTAAGGCTTTAATAAGTACTACCAGAGACAGAGAGAGATAATGCATAAGATTAAGCAATTCAATTCATCAGGAAGACATACCCATTATAAACATACATATATAAACATGCCAATAAGGCCTCCAAATAAAATAAAAAGTTTACATTAGAAAACACAGGTATTTAATAAAATACAAAATGTTTTAGAAAGACCTCCAAACCTTGAAAAAATCTTCAAGCTGTTTACTGTTATAAAGAGCAGGAATATTGGCAGAGAACTGTAGCAGGTCTTCAGCGCACTGTCTTCTCTCTTCAATAACGGTTTCATCAAATCGCCCTTCAAGTAAATAAGAATTAGCACAAATAAAGAAGGATCAAACACCAGTTAACGACAATTGATGTTCACAGAGCAGAAAGCAGCAGCAGACCTATCACGGACTATTTCCTGTACTGATTATGCAACCTTCAGAAGTCAAATCTAGTCTCCCCAACTGGAACCAGCAGCAGTCACACCAGAAAAATAATGTTTCTGACAAAAAATGTTTCTGACAAAAAAAGAGACAGAGATATCAACTCAAAAATAAATGTGCCATCATCATCTAAGGTGTGTCAATATAAGCAACTTACCACTTAAAAAGCTGGTGATTTGAAACTAAAATTGAAAAGAGAATTGTAAAGAACCAGAATGGTTTTCTATAGTAATTTAATACACATTAATTACTAATTATTAATGTAATTACATAAATAATTTCCCTTTCCCACTTTTGCTTTACAAAAGAATTGAGGAGAGGAAATTATGAGAACATCTGTATATCAACAGGGTCAAAAACTTTAGTTTGAAGAAAAAAGTTTTTTCAGCCAAACTCCATGTATGACGCTGTCAGACCCCATGACAACATGCTTGTGAGAAAAAGGAGAACACACAACACCAGTGATCTGTTTACAAGGTGACAGAAAGTATTCATACAATTTTTTAATTATATATACAGTGTGAATGCTAATGAGGTATTTCAAACATGACCATTTTTACCACTCTCAGACCAGACTACCATTTGGCATTTGTTGCATGCCATGTATCATACTGATGGCAATATAGGTTTAAAAAAATACAATTATTAAGAATAACATCATCACCTACTTAAACATTTCCAGTAGCTTTGCAAAATGTTAACTGAAAACTGAGGCACAGAGATTCCTAGTTATACTGACCAATGCAAGAATTTGAAACCACTAAATAACTCAGCTCATGTCTCCTGCTTATGGTGAAGTGTCTACTTCCTGGTAATTGAAAGAAATGGTTTTACTGTATATTTTTAATTAAATTTATTGGGGTAGCATTGGTTAATAAAAGTACATAGATTTTCAGTGTATAATTCTTGATACATCATCTGTATATTGCATTGTGTGCCCATCACTCAAAGTCAAATCTTTTTATATCACCATATATTTACAAATATATGAGGCATGTCACAAATCTGCCTGACACCCTGATGCAGGGGCCATTCTAATCTCCTCTGTATCATCCCACTTATAATATGTGCTACCTAAGCTCAATGTATCTCATGCTCACAGGGAAATATCTACTTCCTAATGTCGGCAGCGATAATGGCACCAGGCATTAGGCCAGTGGAATCGGACCAGATCTTGCTTCAACAACTTTGGTATGAGATACTTGAGTTTTAGCTAGGAAATAATTCAGAACTAAGACTCAAGGTATAAGAGAAAGTTTATTTAGAAAGTCACAAAAGTAAAAGAAATAAGCAATAGAAGAAATAGGCTCAGAAAACAAGTTAGAGGCAAAAGAAATGCCCTTGTTGCTTAGGAGAAAGGTAAAGGTAACCCACCTGCAGGGAGGGGGTTTCGGGGGAGCTGTGGACATGCTCCCAGGAGAGAGAGCCACACTGGGTCCTGGTCTTGAGGGTATTTATCTGGAGGGCTCAGGGGAAGTTTTCCATAGAATATTCACCTAGTGTGTCTTTACATTGTCATGGACTCTAATGATTCATCAGCATCAGAGCAGGGGGTCACTGCAGCTGGTTCTGATATCAGCCATGGCATCGCTAGTCTGGTTCTGCTGCTTTTCTGGGCCTGGAGCTAAACCACAACTGAGGCCAATCTGTTACCCCTAGGGGTTAATGCTTAAGGGAGTAGTAGTGCAAGGGCCTGGATGGGAGTCACATGAGGCCACTCCTCAGCCCCTTGTTCCTCCTCCCAGGGGAGGCTACTGCGTGACTAGCAACAGTTAGGAGAGGAAAGATTAGGAGAGGGTCGGAACTGCATGACCAGCTATTTGAAAGGTCAGGGGGAGTAAACCACATGACCAGTGATATGCTAGGCGAAGAAAAGTTACCCTGGGGGCGAGGTCCTTGTTTTTCCAGTTTACCCATTACTAGCACCGGGGCCTTTCTGTCCTGGTGACTTTCTGTACCTGGCCTACCATCTTTGTTCCGCTCATGTCTGTCTAACTGTCAACCGCAATGATAACTAAAAGAAATTATTTTAGAGTTAGACCTGAATTCTTTCGGGCTTTTTTTCTATAAATTGGAAAATTTTCTAAATTAAAAAAATTGAAGGAAAATCGGTTGCTACATTGGTGAAATGTAGAATTGGAAGGGAAAACAACTAACTCAGTCTGAAGGAGACACAGAAAACTTACTAAAAGAGGAGACATCTAAAAGTATGAAAGGTTAGCAAAACATTTCACCGTGGAATGGTGCAACACTAAAGAAAGAGATACAAGAGAGTATGTATGTTAGAGAAATGGTAAGCTGAACAACAGATGAATATGTTCAAGTTAATATAAGTTATTAATATAAGTTTATTTATTAATATACAAGCTAACAATAACTGATAATGTGTCGAGCATTGAACTAGACACATGCAAGATATAATCCTCAAAACAGGAAGATACTATTCCTATCTTAACAGTAAGAAAAAAGGCTCAGATGTTAACTTGTGTAAGATCACACCACAAGTAAATAGTGGATAGAATACTTGAGCCTAAAGCTATCTGATTCCAAAAGGTATGTTCTTTTCACTGTAATACTAGAACATTACATATCTGATGGTTCTGCAAATTACAACAGGTCTGGCTTTTGTTGCTGAGGCTCCTGTACTAAAATGTGAGAATAGTTAAAAAGACAGGTGATTAACCAACAAATCCCTCCACGCAGCCACAGCTGCTACCTGCAGGGTTCACTGCAGTTATCAAGTATTACAAATGGACTGTACCATTCACTGAGAGTGATAAATTGCTTACTTATTAAGATGAATAAGAAACTTTCACTCTATAATATGTAAGAATGAGGAGAAAAGTTGAAGATAATCCATTCGCAACAAACAATAATAGCTAAGAACCAATTCGGAAGCCACTCCCTTTCACCAAGAGACAAGCTTATTGTTTTAAAACCCAGGCTGTGTCTCTTCCAACATTGAATTTAAAGATATGTGTGCACAGTTAAATTCAACAGTTCAGAAGGTTTAAGGTAGAAAGTAAAAGTAGCCCTCCTCCCATGACCTCAGAGGTTTTGCACATTAAACAAATGCGTGTAGGTATGTCTTCACACAAATACATAAGTCTATTTAAATATAGATGGGATCTTACTAAGCACATTGCTGGGCAATATTTGTTTCCTACATTTTAAAAATAGACCTTGGACATATTTCCATACCAATATATTTAAAAGTTTAGCTGAAGAATTCTATACATTGGCCAAATTATGGCACATTCATACAATCACATATTGTGTAATTACAATTTTCAGTATTCTATTGAAAATGCTGCAAGGCACACCCATGAACATGTATATATGTGTGTGCACAAATTTGTGTGTGCATGTAAGTATTCTCAAAACATGGTCCAGGGACTTCTGAGGATTCCCTAAGAGCCTTACAAGAGATCAACAAGGTCAAAGCAATTTTCATAATGTGGTTGCATTTTTCACCACACTGACATTTGCACTGGTATCTAAAACCATCGGCAGAAAAACTGCTGGCCTCTTAGCAGGAATCAAGACAATGGCACCGAACTACTTTTACTACTAATCATCATATTCTTTACTGCCACTCACCCATAGTAAAATTTCTTTAAATGCCAGTTTCACTTAAGAATGTACTTGATGCGAAACCGGTTTGGCTCAGTGGTAGAGCGCCGGTCTGCGGACTGAAAGGTCCCAGGTTCGATTCCAGTCAGGGGCATGTACGTTGGTTGCGGGCACATCCCCGGTGGGGGGTGTGCAGGAGGCAGCTGGTCGGTGTTTCTCTCTCATCAACGTTTCTAGTTCTCCATCTCTCTCTCCTCCTCTCTGTAAAAAATCAATAAAAATATATATTTTTTTAAAAGAATGTACTTGATAATGCAGAAAACTTACTAATTTTATTTATTAAATCTCAACCCTTGAGATCATTTCTTTTTTAAAATCTATGGGGTGGGGAGAAATAAATTGTAACTAATGAGACTTGCTATCCAAGTCTAAATTTAGGTTGGGTTTGTGGTTTGTTTGTTTTGTAATTTCCTTTAGAGATCTATGATATTAACAACATTTTATATTATATGATAAATGGGTTAACATTTGCAAGAAACATACAAAGTATAGACATTAAAAAGTCAATACTAGAAGAGTAATTCAACATCATCTTTTCTTAGGTTCTCACACATTTTTTACTTGATTGGTTGGAGTTGTTGTGCTGCTGTTTCATGGAAAGAGGAGTAAATGTGCTCTGAGTTAAAAAAAAAAAAAAAAAAAAAACTATACCAAGAACATGAAAACAACTTCAGGCGCCTGATGCTTGCTACATGATATGAATTATTGTAATAAATAATGGGGCCTCTGACTTCATGGCACAGTATTTCAGCATATATGCATAACTAGCTAATCATCAAAAACCACAAAGTCAAAATAATCACTTACCAAACACTTTTCCTTTAGCAAATGGAGGAAACAATTCTGAATGTCGAAATAAGTTTTTGTGAATTTGCCATAGTTCTTTGTGTAGTTTCTTAAAGTCACTGTATCTCTTCCACACGATTATCTAAAGAGAGGGGGAAAAATGTGTATCTAAGTTCAGATATCTGAACATAATTATTTCATTAGTATTCAAAATTGTCATGCCAAGAAAAACAAGTGTTTGTTCTAACTAATAAGGTTAATTGTCTAAAATTAACTAATATTTGCTTTAAAAATATAGAAACAGCAATTTTTCTTCCAAATGTCTTGTCTAAACTTTTAAGTAAGTACTGTCTTATTCAAACTGGAAAAACATTCAACATGGTACAAAATCTCATTTAACCTCTTCAAAATCCAATTACTATTGGCCATGGAAATGAGCTAGATGTCAAAATATATATATTCTGTCTCAAAAACAGCATATTTATAGACACAAAATAATTTAGACAATTTTTAAATACAAAGTACATACTCAGCATTTGTTAAAAGGATAAACAAACAGAATAACACTGAGGGGGAAATAACTATGTAGCAAGTAATTAACATGAACTTTTTTATTTCATAAATCTCAATTTAAAGTAGTAATAAGATTTCTGGAAGCGAGGTGAATCTTGATCAGAATATCATTAAAAGTAGTATATTTCAAAAACAATATTCATTTAGATTATACAACATATAAAAAGTAAATACACCTTCATTAGTTTTAATTATTATTTAACTTCATTCAGATTACATTAGGAAAAAAACGTTATAAAGGAAAAGGATTTGAACATGGCCTTGATATCACTGATTCATCCCTCAGTCTCCACAAAATGAGTAAACTACATTTTAAATTCCATCACCTAGTATATTGGGGCCTTTGCTAAAAACAAAAAACAAAAACAAAAAAAAACAAAAAAAACACAAAACAAAACAAAAAAAAACCTACTTACCTCAGTTCTAACAAAGTCAATATTAAAAATTTACTCTATGTATGTGTGAAATTCTTCACTAAACTTTGTCAAGCTACCAAAAATTCAACCATGATAAATAAATTACTTGTTTCTAACACAGTGATAATCCTAGGGGGCTAATCAGACTGCCACGTGAATTAATTTAAGTAAGCATCCCTCCTTATGGGGGGGAAAGGGGTGTAATGGTATATGTACAAAGATAATAATTTAATTTAAAAAATAAAATAAGAAAGCATCACTCCTGATGCTTCCTTTTGTTCATTTACTCAACAACAAAAATAGTCAACAAAACAAGTATTCCACGGCCTATTTTGTGCTAGGTACTGTGTAGGCACAAAAAAATGAAGAAATGAGAAACAACCATGCCCTCAAAGAGTTCCCCTCCAGTGAGGAAGATAAGCCATCACAGTAAGCACATCACAGGACAGCAGCGTGATCAATGCCCGAGGGCAGCCCAGGGCGACACGGAAGGAGCACCTCACCAGGTTTGGTCTTTAGGCTTCACAGAAAGTATTACCTTAGGTGAGTGAACTAAAGGGAAGTAGTGATTAGACCAACAAAAATAAAGATGGAAAGAAGAGGTTGAAGATGAAGTTTTTAAAAGGAGAACGATGCCAAATCTAATTACTAGAATTTTAGCTTTGCAACTGGATAAATGTAATACTATTCCCTAAGATGAAAAGCCAAGGGAGAAAAAGCTGTTTGGCGATAAGAATGAAGTTCAACTGTAGATACATTTAATTTAGGTACTTGTGACGCATCTAACTGGAGATGTCCCATAGGGTGGAGGGTTTGTGGTTCAAGAGCAAGAACTAAGCAAGATGTGTTAATTTCACTCAGTAAAGATTGCTCAGTGTCTGTGATGAGATGAGGAGCCTAACAACTGAATGATAGGGAACTTGAACACCAAGGGGCCAGCCAGAAGTAAGGAAAAGAACACCAAGTGCAGAGTAAGTGTTTAAAAAGCTTGCCTATGCCGTGAGAGAGGGTACATAGATGGAAGAAGAAATTTTATTTTAAAATGGAAGTGAATGTGACAAATGCTGAGGGCAAAGAACCAACAGTTCCAGTAAAAGACAAAGTAAGAGGAATTGAGAGAGCCAGCCCAATACTTGAAAAGCAAAAGTCCTGGGAATAGTAAAATTATAGTGATTTTAATTTTCCTATTTAGTGCTTCTCTGTAGTTTTTAATTTTAATACATGAACATAATTCTGCCATGGAAAAAAACAATGTTACTTTCATATTTTTTAAAATAGATCAAATTATGGTGGTACCACTATGCCAAAGGGCTTAAGGAGAAAATGAGTGATTGACTTGTAAAAGTAATCTTACATAAGGTAAATGTAAAGCCATATAAACTAGAAATTAGAGCTATTCAAAAGACTATAGAGCTCATGGAAACAAATCTGCAGATAAAATGTATATTCTAGTTAGGGTCACTGTAAAATGAAAACAGAGTACTTTAAGGGGCAAAAATTAAGTTAGTCATAATCTATATATATAAAAGCCTAATATACTAAGTGTCCAACTGAGCAGTCAACTGAATGGTCAACCACTTGACCAGTCACTATGATGAGCACTGAACACCAGGAGCAGATGCTCAGACTGGTAGGTTAGCTTGCTGCTGGTGTCAGGCCTATCTGGACTGGGCGAGACAGCCCAGATTGGCCCTGATTGCTGGCCAGGCAGAGCAACACCACACGTGCATGAGTTCATGTACTGGGCCTCTAGTAATGATAATAATACCATGGTAAATAACCAGTAGATTGTCAGAGCAAGAATAAGAACCACCTCCACAAGGTGAGAATCTGTGTGTCTTCACTATGTCCTCTAATTTTTTTCCTCACATAATCCTTATTCTCACACTACAACTTTAGTCCTGAATGACCTAAGAACAAATGTAAAACCTCAAAAAATGCAGGAAACCAAAGCATCACAAAATGTCACCATTTACTGACTCTTTTTCTTCTTACTCCTTTTAAGTTTGGACATTTCTAGGAATCTTAAAAATGGAAAAGTAAACAGAAGTGCACTCCCATTATATCAATAAGTATAAATGTTTATAATTAGACTATACATAGTCCCAACAGATACATGCAAAAAATTATTTTCTCTAATAATCAAATTTTTCCCATTATAGAAGAAAAATCAAGGGAAGTGGGTGAAGGTGTGAGAGGACATAGATGAGTTAAATGGTAATGGGAAAAAAATAAAATGAAATGAAATAAAAATCACTGTATAATAGCTATTGCTGTATTGAACCATTTCTGCAGAAATTTCTTATTCATTAGCTATGAGTAAAATTCTTCAATCAAATAGCAATTTAATGATAATCATATATAGACTACAAATTTAATAAAAGCTTACTTATTAAAAACATTCCCTTATTTTTACATTAAAAAGTTTTAAGATAATTTCATTTAATGATATCAAAAACCGTTAGATCTCTTGGATGCTACAAAACTACTCAATTCAATTAACTTTTCCTTTTTACTCTTCCATAGTACTAGAACCATACTATTGCTTATTAATTTTCTTTCCCTTGACACATTTCTGACACCAGTAAAATTTACCACCTACAGAGAAACAGAGCCAGGCAGGTTACTTTTTTTAAAGGGGGGGAGAGGGAGGGCATTTTTCCACCTCTCTCTTTACTTGATACAAGTATTCATGCCCTAGAGACTCTTCTGAACAAGAGGCCACATTGACTATTGTTGTGCCCCCTCACATACATCTATGTTGCTCTTAATAAATAAAAATTAAGAGAAAAAGTTTAACAGATAAGAAAAAAAAAAGCTGATAATTTTAAAATTATTTATTCCATGTTAATATTTAAGCATTATTGGGAAGAAAACACTGCATGTGCTAAGGTAGGTAGGTAGGTATATATTTATATATAAACAAACAGCAAAATTTCTCATTTTATAAGAATAGCATAATTTTAGCCCTATATTTGGTTAGATTAAGTATACATTGACTAATCCTCAATAGTCTTGAAAAGTCTAAATTCTAAAGCAATAACTAAATTAATCAGTTAACAGAAAGAGAAAGGAAAAGAAAAGGAAATGGAAACAAATTCTAGTAGGTGATTCCTCTCCTAATGAGAATCCCAATGTTTAAACGAAACATATGGGAAACTAAAAAGTATTGTTATAATTTTGAGGTTTATATTTTAAAAAGCTAGATAGACAGAAGACATGGTTGTTTTGGGTTGTTGTTTTTTTTTGTTGTTTTTGTTTTTGTTTTTTGTGTTGTTGTGTTGTTGTTGTTGTTGTTGTTTGTTTTGTGTTTTTGTGTGTGTGTGTGTGTGTGTGTGTGTGTTTTAAAGCATTTCTAACAAAGGACCATGCAATCATCTAACTAAAGGACACTTACAAGAGTTTTCTGATGAATGGTTCACCAACAGTTGTTATTATAAAAGAGTTTTCCCAAAAAAAGGACTAAGGAAATGGCAGAGAGTATGTTCATGATAGGTTGGTTCAGGATTCTCCCTGAAAAAGGGGAACATCAAGCTACAAACTACAGCATAGCAATCAGACAATATTTCAAAAGAAACACAACCATTTTCAGGTTTAACAGAGTTGTAAATTTTCAAAAGCAGAAAACCCTGACATTGACTACTAATTCAACATTCTAAAGAATTCTAAATCCTAAAGAACAGTTCATACTAATCAGCTGACACTTAAGTAGAGAAAGTACTTCAGTCAATGATGCAATCATTTTCTCTGCCATTTTAGAAGGATAGGTATATAGATACATCTTCTTTTCTTCCAAAATAACATTACAATAGTATTTTCATGTCTATTGAGGATAGGGATGTAGGGAGGAGTTAGATATCTTAAAACCCTAGGAAAATAATAAGGAATCTTTTAAAAATATATCCTTTATTGAACCATTTTTAACCATCAGAGAAAAAACAAATACCATATTAGATATAGTAAAAATGGTAATGTATAAAAGTCAAAATATATTCTAAATCTGATGTCACATACACAAACCAACCAGTACCAAACAATCAACTTAAATATATGAATCAAGCCAGATTTTTATTTAAGAAATAGTGGGGCTTGTGGCTAAATCGAAAACATATACCCCACCTAAAGATATTAAAATTCAATTTAAGAAAAGAAAAATACTGTTGAAGAATCAAGACTGCTCATTTACCCTGTTCCTTTAGTAAGAAAAAAAAATCCCTAACATGCTATGTCCTTCTAATCTGAGTGAAAATGAGATCAAGGTGATCACTTTGAAAGGTATATAAGTGTCTAAGCATTATGTTGTGCACCTGAAACTAATATAATATTGTATTAAACATATAAAACTGTATCAACTGTAATTAAACAATAAATTAATTTTTTAAAAGAAAATGAACAAGCACTAATATAAATTTTAAAACTGTCAAAATAACTAAGCTTTTCAGATAGGATTCTTACAGGTATATAAGTACAAAAAAATAACAAATACAGAACCACAGTTTTAAGCAAAATCATAACAAACTGGTATCATTTTAGAGAAAGGGAGAGTCGGCAAAAGAAACTTAGCATCTACAAAATTTAAAAAAGAAACATCTACACCCAAAGCAGTTTTTCAAGATGTCAACATATCAAACTCAATATAAAAATGAGAGCAGACAGAAACCCACAATTTAATATTATAATTTTTAAAATTAATAGTAGTTACCAAATACTTTTCAAGTTTATATTAAATAGGCATCATAATTTAGAAATAGGTAAATAGGAGCCCTTAACTAATATTGAAATCTGATGAGTATGAGAAAAATTATCACATTATTAAATAGCACTATAATTCCTGAAAAATCTTATTTTTAAAATTTACCATCAACTGAAATCTAACACATATTTAATATAATACATCTAAATAATCCTCAAATTCTTAGTCATATAACTTAAAACCTACGACAACTTAGAATATACTTAATAGATCTGAACTAGGACACTTCTGCTACTGTTTTGTGAGCTGAAGACAACCTCCACACAAACATACAAATACAAAGACTGAGAAACAGCCTTAGCTGGTTTAGCTTAGTGAATAGAGTGTCAGCCTGTGTACTGAAAGGTCCCGGGTTCGGTTCCAATCAAGGGAACATGAGGCATGCAGGAGGCAGCCTATTAATGATTCTCTCTCATCATTGATGTTTCCATCTCTCTCTCCCTCTCCCTTCCTCTCTGAAATCAATGAAAAAATATATATATTTTTAAAAAGACTGACAATTCAATTTGCTCAATCAGGCATTTAGTTAAATTTTTGTCAAATACATAAAATAAAATTTTCATATAACATGTTACCTCCTGGACATCCTCTGGATTTCTTCGTGAAATAACCTGAAACAAAACATACACAGAAATATCTCATTATTATCAAAATTTAAGATTCCACATTTGTATAATTACTTTCAATAGTATTTGTGTAAAATTTCAATTTGCTTAAAGAATAAGGAACTAGTCCTAGCCAGTTTTGCTCAGTGGGTAGAGCGTCGGCCTGCAGACTGAAGGGTCCTGGGTTCGATTCCAGTCAAGGGCAGGCTCAGTTGCAGGCTCCCGGCCCTGGTCAGGGGCATGCAGAAGACAATCAATCGATGTGTCTGACTCTCTCACATCTCACATCAGTATTTCTCTTTGTCTCTCCCTCACCCTTCTACTCTCTCTAAAAATCAATGGAAAAAATATCCTTGGATAATAATTAAAAAAAAAAAAAAAAAAAGAAGGAAATAGCAATTATGTCACTTACACAGAACTCAGCTATATAACATCACTATCTGAAACACATACTAAAAAATCCAGCAAAAAGGCAACTGAAATAAAGTCCAAATACTAATGTTCATGTATTACATTTGCACGAGAATGCCTCAGCCTTCACTTTCATTTGACATTATTCTACCAAACTTTTCAGACTCCCTATAAATTAAAAATATATAAAGCAGCTGCAAATGGACAAAATATACAGGGATTGCTCTGGATTATTTCTTACAATTGGAAGTGAATCTACAACCAGCTCAATAAAAATTTCAATGAAAAAAAAAATACAGCCACAATCCTCAGATACACCAATATGTATGAGAAGTAATCACTGACCACCTAATGGTGAAGAAAACAAAAGTAACTTATATAAAAAATTACAATCAGCATTCAAGGACAATGCTATCTTCATTCTCTGAGCAAAGAGGCGGAGGAAGGATTCTTTCATACTTCTCTAATTACAAAAGCTAAAAAGTCTAACACCATTTACAAAGATTTCCTCACAAAACTAGAAAAGAAGAAGGTTGTGTGCCTAAGTCATCAAAAAGCAATGTAGAGTGGAAAAAGCTCACATTAAATACATAATAACATCTATGTAAATGCAAAATTCATGAACTTGATGCTTCAATATGCATTTTGCAAAAACTAAAAGCTATATTAAACACATAAAAATGGTTGCCTATAGATGAAAGGAAGAAAAAAAATTGATAACTACTGACAGTACCATGAACTGGGGGACTAAGATCCACTCAACACTACTGCAGTCCAAAGCAAAAACAGCAATATTCCACAAAACCCTGTTCACCATTAGATTTTATTTATTCTTTCACTTATTCAACAAATACTAGTCCCTACTCTGCAGGTAGGTTCTGAAGTATAATGGAGAATACATCAGGTTTGATTCCTATGCCACTACACTATAAAAACATAATCACTTGCCAGATACCTTACCAAATTCAACCAAATGACAACTCACTGTGAGGTGTTCAGGAGACCGGCAGGTGTAATCTCACTTAAATAAGTTAAGAATGTGTCCTCTGACATGGACACCAAAACAAAGGGGTTAGAAAAACATGGGCTGAACCCAGATGTCCATTAGTAACAACTCTTTCTAACTATGTAATTCTCTTCAGCAAAACTGATGAAAAATGAGAATACCAACCAGAAATCTGAAATTAGAATCTGACCATATTGAAAATGAACTAAGTTGAACCCTGAGACCCAGCTATTTATAACTGTTAATACTATATTAGCAATGATTTCAACAAGTAATATCAACTCTAAAATAAAAATACAACATTCACTCTGATAAAGACTGTTACTACTTTATAATTTTTCCCTGAGGTGAATTTCAATAGTTTGTCACAACATTCAGCCAACAAATTCCATAAAAGTTGTAATTTAAAGCAATTTCACTTAAAGTTCATAAATTTCTGTTGCAAGCATAACTACCAATGGCTCAGTAAGTACTTAACCTGAGAAGCCTCGATAGATAGATGATTGATTGATAGATACATAGATAGACAGATAGAAAGAATTTTATTGCCAAGTAATCTTGAAAATTATTATCCTAAAGCAGTGCTTCACAAACCACACTGATGGAATACGGGTATTCTTTAAAATCAGTGATGTCAAAAGACTAATGATGAACTCAATCTATCTTTGTTTAAAAAAGAAACACATAGTACATTATGATGCCTTGTAAATCTCCAAAAGGAAGCTATACAGTATTTCCCAAGGTCATCTATTCACTCAAGTTTCTATTTTTATCATGTTTTTTATTTTTTTACTTAGTGTGACACCTACTAAATTTTGAACACAGTAGACCACTTCTATTTGAACACGAACAGAAATTTGTGGTCCATCCACTTCTATTAATGTCAAAAGCAAATTCTCAATTTAGGAAAACAATTAAGATAACTATCTCTTACTGTGCTAAGAAATATTTTCCTTCATTCAGCACAACCCTGCCTCATAGGATGAGACAACCAAGGCCCAAGAGCATATAGTAACATACTAATACTAATAATATTAATCAACTAGAGGCTCAATGCACAAAAATTCGTGCAAGAGTAGACCTTCATTCCCCTAGCTGCTGGCATTAGCTTCTCTCTAGCCCCGGCTTCAACTGGAAGAACATCAGGAATGACACCCGGAAGGACTCCAGACATCTGGTCTAATTAACATATTACCCTTTTATTATCATAGATAACAGGCAGTACTTGATTTCACAACTCTGTGATTATAAACAATGTGCTCTCTCAGGGACACAATTAAACCAGCCCTCCTAAACTTTAAAATCCCAAGTATGTAAGAAATATTCCTATTGTCTGTTAGGTAAATCCACTTTGTCTTTATAAAGAAATGCCAATCAAAAGCTGAAGAAGCACGCTGGCAGAACAGAAATAATTAAGAATGAAGGGTTTTAAATACTAGCTCTGGCACTAGCTATGAACTGCTTTTTCACCAGTTCCCTAATAAACAAACAAACAAAAAAACAAAAAGGATAGGCAAGAGGGCTCATCTTAAAATGAGCCCTCTTGCCTATCCTTAAAACAAAGACCAGACTTATAGCTAGGCCTACCCCAGGCCCATAGTAATCAACAGATCAAACTGTCATTAGGTCCTCTCCAGTGTACTAAATCATATTATCTACTTAAATATTTAATAAGAAGCTCAGATATAATTCAGGAACTGTACTTCTGGGTATTTATCCAAAGAAACCCAAAACACTAAATCAAAAATACAGATCCATCCATATGTTCACTGCAGCATTATTTACAATAGCCACAATATGGAAGCAACCTAAGTGCCCATCAATAGATGAACAGATAAAGAAGTGATGCATATATTCAATGAAACATGACTCAGACATAAAAAAGGATGGTCATCTGCAACAACATGGAAAGGCCTAGAGGGTACTGTGCTGAGTGAAATAAATCAGACAGTGAAATAAGTCAGACAGAGAAAGACAAATGCCATATGATTCCACTTATAAGTGGAATCTAAAAAGCAAAACAAACAAGCAGAATAGAATTAGATTCACAGATACAAAGAACATTTTGACGGTTGCCAGATGGGAGGAGGGTTGAGGGGATGGATGGAAAAGGTGAAGGGATTAAGAAGTACAAATTGGTAGTTACAGAATAGTCTTGGGGATGTAAAGTACAGCACAGGGAATATAGTCAATAATATTATAACTATGTATGGTGTCTGATAGGTACTGGATTTATCGGGGTGATCATTTTATAAGTTATATAAATGTCTAATCACTGGTTATACAACTAAATATAATATTGTGTGTTAACTGTAATTTTAAAATAAAATATTATTTTTTAAAGACTTAGTATTAAGCTACAGTTTGCAAGGATATAAGCTTAGGAGGGAAGGCGGGGGGGGGGGAGAAGTTGGGGAAAACGGGTGGGTGGGAGGCAATCAACCAAAGACTATATATATATATATATATATATATATATATATATGCATAACCCATGGGCAGGGACAATTTGGTGGTGAAAGCCTGGGGCAGGCTGGAGGGAGTTAATGGGGGAAAAAGGGGGACATATATAATACTTTTAACAACAAAGATTTTTTTTAAAAAAGACTTAGTATTAAGCTACAGTTTACAAGTATATATGCTATCAAGAGAAATAAAAGCACATGCCCATACAAATACTCGTATACAAATGTTTATAATAGCTGTCTTCATAACCAAAAACTGGAAATGACCCAAATGTCCATCAACAGGTAACAGATTAATTGTAATATAACCATACAATGGAATATCAGTCAGCAATAAAAGAAAAACAGACAACATACCTAGATGTATCTCAAATAATCATGCTAAGTTAAAGAAGCCACACCAAAAAGAAAAATGCATACTATGTAATTTCAATTATATAAAATTCTAGAATACACACCTGATCTATCACAGAAAGGCGACCAGAGGTTGCTTAGGACAGGGAATGGAGGGGACTGACTGCAGGGTTCCAGGAAACTTTTTTTTTTTAAGTATAAAGGAGATTTAAGAAGATGCAAGAGCTTTTATGTTAACCAAAATTTAGTAAATTTAGATACTACTAGTGATTCTAATTTTACTCGTTCTTTATAAAGGATAACAACAAAGATTCTTTATGAAGGAGTATAATTAGAATCAAGGATCAAAAATATAAAAATTATCCTTTAAAGCTGAAAGTAAATCAGTAGCAGGAAACATAGAGAAAACATTCCTAATTTTTATCTCATAAAGTTCTCTCAGGAGAATATTACTTACCTGGTTAATTCTCCTGAGGAAAGATGTTTTCCTCCTTAAATCTCAAAAAAAAATAACAAATATTTTACTTGTTTTATAATATTAAGTAGTTACTTTTTAAGTATATCTCCATGTTGACCCTCAAACATTAACATTACAATCTGTCACAAAAGCAATAAATGAGGACATAAACATTTACGAGAAAGGCAGTGTAAGCAATTTTCTAGTTCAAATAACCACAGCAATGCGTAGCATGCATATTATATAGCTTTGGTTAGTCCTAAAGCAACGTGCTACTTTGTGTTCTAATTTGTGTTGTCATAAAAGTTAGTGCAGTAAATAGTTCACAGCTTAAGAAAAGATACTTAAGAGCTGAATTGGGTTAACCTCTCCTTTTGTAAAGTAAGAATACAAGCAATTACCATACACAGTGTTTGCTATTCAAGTTCCAAACACATTTATACCTTCAAGCTTTAAATGCCATAAAGTTTATGGCTCTCTCCCTTCTAGCTACCCTTCCATCTAAGACGCCCTCCCCTTTCCCCCCACCTATCTGAGTTCATCTTTCACCACCTGTCTTAATTGGTACACATTCCCAGATACCTTGAGCCAGAAGCAATCTCTGTCTTCTGAAATCCCACAGCTCTTTTCTATTCTCTGGTGGCATTTAACACTTTCTATCTTGTACTGGACTTCTTCAAAAAATCTATAAACTCTCTTCTATGAATATCCTTGAAAGAAGGTCCATGCTTTATTCAGCCTCTATCCCTTACAGCATTTAGTGCCTGGAACTAAACTCTTACTGAGCGTGTTGCTTAGAATGGAGAGGGAAAACATTCAACAATGTTTTTTAGACACTGTGTGCCATGCACTGCCTTAGCTGTTATAAAAGGAAACAAATACCAATGATAAAGACCTATCCTAAATATACTAGAGACACAGACACATAACAGATTAATACAATATAACTGGGGGGTTACAATAAGGAATGAACGAGGTGCTATGAGGGAAACATTACATATGTTGAAAACTGTTCTAATTCCATAAATTATATTAGGAAACTAAGTCTAAATGTTTGAAGGTCCCAATGCCTACAATGGTTTCAAAAGTGATATAATAAGAGCCCTTAATCTTAAAAAAACAAACTTTTACACTACATCACACATGATTACTACATCCTCCAAATGTGTACTGTGGTATTACTACTATCTGTACCTCTCCTTTTTTTAATCAATGGCAAAGATAAAGTTCATTCTGAGCTTTTTATATAATTTGGAGTTAGGCAGAAGTGGCCTCAAATCCCAGAAGTGCTACTGACTTGCAAAGCTGGGCAAGTTACAAAACATCCGGCAACCTCAGTTTCCTCATCATTAAAATTAGTAGTAACTTGGGTGATGTGTACAAAATGCCTAATACATATGCATACTCATACACACACATACATTCATACATGTAGACTTACTTAATGTTACTATTCTTTATTTCCCAAGAAGAGAGCTACAGGCTGTCTTTAAAAGGAGGAGCAAGAGCGATTTTTAGCACCAAAGTGGGTACTAAAAATTGAACCGGTTTAACATAAAGGAGACTCGCAGCCTTTACATCTGCTCTCGAGACAGCTCATGGAATTTCTCCTATGCCTCCTACTATACACCATGAAAACTCCGTGGACTTTCTCCTATGGCTCCTACTGTAAACCATGAAAAACTCAAAAGGTAAAAAAAAAAAAAAAAAAAAAAAAAAAGACAGGCGGAAAAGGTCCTAGGCTGTGACCCTAACACTGACATCCTCGAGAGAGCCTATGAGCCTCAGTGCAAACCATGACGCTGTATAAATGCCCGAGAGGAGAAAGGCCTAGGACATAAATAAAAACCATACAAACAATTACATCTTTCACCTGCGCATCCCTCAGAAGCAAGCAAAACCGCTTCTGCACGTTTCAGCCTCAGAAGAGAAAGTTCCAATGGGTTGGGGGCTGAGTCATCCACGGAAAACCATCAACCTGTGCCCCTACCCGGGGACGGGGTGTGGGGACAACTCCGCCACCTTCCCCAGCGGAGTCCCCGAGCATCGCCCCCTCGGCGCTCCCCTCGCCTTCCCCCCGTCCCCACCTCGGCACCAGGCGCCCCCAGTCCCACCCTCAGCTCCGAGCCGGGAGCAGGTGCCGCCCGCCACGCCCGGGTCCCCACCCCAGACCCTCGTCTCCCAGGTCAGGGATGCCTCCCCCGCCTGTCACCGGCGGCACTCACCCGGGCGGTGACCTTATACACCGTGTAGCCCCGCGGGTGTCGCTGGGGCTCGGTGACAGTGTAGAAACGGGCCAGATCGGCACCCCGCTCCCGAGGAGAGCTCATCCTCCCTCCGCCGCAGCCGCCGCCGCCGCCGGCCGAGGAGCATCAGGGCGCCCGGCGCCGCGCTCCCGGGTCCCCAGCGGGCGAAGCAGCGGCTCGGCGGTGGGGGGCGGTGGCTCCGCCGCGGCGCCTCTGGCGGCGCACGGCTCTGCTTCCGGGTCGGCGGAGGAGCTTCCGGGTCAGGCTGCTGGGAGCGACCGGAGGGAGCCTTTCTTTTAGGTTTAGGAACCACACCGCCGGGCCTGGGTTTGGCAAGGAGGCGAGGACCGTCCCTGCGGAGAACTGAGACGTCTCTCTACCGAGTCTGCTCGGGCGCTAGCTCCGTCACCTTCTAGATTTTGTGACAGCTGCTGTGACAGCCACGACATCCGGTGACAGCTGGGACCCCCACACCCCTCTGCCCAGCTGTGTACACAATTATTAAGGGGGGCAGGGGAGGATGCCCTAGTCGAGCATCTTCTTTCCTTATCCACTCACGGTCTATCATTTTATTTATATTTTATATATTTTATATAGATATATTTTATTGACTTTTCACAGAGAGGAAGGGAGAGGGTCAGAGAGTTAGAAACATCGACCAGCTGCCTCCTGCACACCCCCCACTGGGGATGTGCCCGCAACCAAGGTGCATGCCCTTGACCAGAATCAAACCTGGGACCTTTCAGTCTCCAGGCTGACGCTCTATCCAAACCCATTAGGCCTGGGTCTGTCATTTTAAATACCTACAGTAGCATTTGAACTTTCACAGACATGACTCTTTCTTCTTTCTAACAGGCATCCTGTCCACCTGTCTTTCTGCCTGCACAGCAAGTCCCAACCCTATGTCAATTTTGAAATTCATCCCCTCAGATTCTAAAAGTGGGAGCCTGTGTCTGGCTGGGAGGGTTGTGGGGGTAGGAGAATTAGAGGAGCTCTCAAAACTGGAAGATAGAGTTTCCGGTTTCAATTGATTCTACCCACTGCTTGGCAACTCCTTTGCCTCTCCTTGATCAGGAAATGGCCATTCTCCACAACAGTCATTCTAAGTCTTTGTCATTTTCTTCAATCCTCTATTCCTCTTCATCTTGGACTCCCTACCCTTTGCCCTCTACCCCCACTTCTTTACAGAAGGAGAAAAGGATGAACCCTTAATAACAATCCCTTCCTGTTCTCACATTTCTATTCTGACCTGAAATATAGACATAGCTGAGATGTAGACATATCTCTTTCTCATTTTTAAAACTAACCACTCCTCCTGTGCACTGAAACCTATCCTCTTGGGCAGACATTGTTTCGTCAATGGCATCCCAACTCTGCTTTCTGTACCTTTAATCTCTTCCCTCATCACTAGCTCCTCTGCCTACATATATATAAATCTATCATTCATTTATTAAACCTGAATTCACCACCTTCTATATGCCAGACATGTTAATTAGGCATTGGAGTTTAAAAAAAAGATGATCCCTGCCCTGGCTGGTTTGGCTCAGTGGACAGAGCGTCAGCCTGCTGACTGAAAGGTCCCAGGTTCAATTCCAGTCAAGGGCTGGATCCCCAGTGCGGGGTATGCAGGAGGCAGCTGATCAATGATTCTCTCTCATCATTGATGTTTCTATGTCTCTTTCCTTCTCACTTCCTCTCTTAATCAATAAAAATATATTTTAAAAAAATAAGATGGTTCTTGCTATCTAATGGCATCCAGTAGGGGGAAAAAACCAGAATAATTAAAATATATCATGCTAAGTATCAGGACAGATATATAGATATACAGATATATAGATATCAGAGAGAGAGCTATAGAGCACATCTAATTCAGAATAAAAGATTAGTTAAGGTTTTCTGACAGAGCTGAAACTATAGCTGAATCTTGAAAGAGAGGTAGGGAATAGCCACCTAGTAACAGTGAACTCTGGGGAGGGAAAATAATTTAATTTCCAGAATTGTCGCATTATTATATTCAGAATGTTCAGTTTTCAACAAAAAATTATGAAGCATCCTAAAAATAAGAACCTTTGGCTCATAATTAGAAAAATAGCAATCCATAAAAACAATGTCCACGAGGAAGCCCAAATGTTGGACTTTAATAGACGAAGATTTTAATTTTTATTTTTATATTTTTAAATATATTTTATTGATTTTTTTATAGAGAGGAAGAGAGAGGGATAGAGAGTTAGAAACATCGATGAGAGAGAATCATCGATCAGCTGACTCTTGCACACCCCCTACTGGGGATGTGCCCACAACCAAGAATGACCGGAATCGAACCTGGGACCTTTCAGTCTGCAGGAGAAAATGCTCTATCCACTGAGCCAAACCTATTTCAGCTAGACAAAGATTTTAAAGAAGCTATTTTAAATATTTTCAAAGAGCTAAAGGAAAACATGTCTAAACTGAACAAAACAAAACTGGCTCAAGAAAAAAGAACATCTGAATAGGCCTATAACAAAACTACTGGATCAGTAATTAATGGTAATGATTGCATATTCTTGAGCATACACTAAAAATCACTAAATTGTACACTTTAAAATGGTTAAACTGATGAATTTTGTTATATAAATTTTATTTCAATTTTTTAAAAACAATGAGATGTCACCTTAGAACTATAACAATGGTTGCCGAAACAGGTTTGGCTCAATGGATAAAGCATCGGCTTGGGGACTGAAGGGACCCGGGTTTGATTCCGGTCAAGGGCATGTACCTTGGTTGTGGGCATATCCCCAGTAGGGGGTGTGCAAGAGGCAGCTGATCGATGACTCTCTCTCATCGATGTTTCTAACTCTCTATCTCTCTCCCTTCCTCTCTGTACAAAATCAATAAAATATATGTTAAAAAATAATAATAACTATAACAATGGCTAAAGTTTAAAAAAAAAACAAAAATTACTCAATATTGACAAGGACAGGAGCACCTGGAACTCTCATAAGTTGCCAGTGGGAATTCAAAATGATACAGCGACATTGGGAAAGAGTTTAGCAGTTTCTTATAAACATAGGTTTACCAGATGTCACAGCAATCTCATTCCTAGGTACTTGAACTCAAGAGGAATGAAAATATATGTCTATATAAAGACCTATATAGGAATATTTTTAGCAGCTTTATTCGTAATAGCCTGATGCCCACCTAACAGTCTGATATCAGAATGACTAAAGGTAAAAATACTGATTATAATAGCAATTTAACTCCTGGACATATATATATCCAAGAATAGTGAGTGGGTATATCCATTAACAAAAGATATATTAAAACGTTCTAAGCACTATTGTTCATAAGGTCAAAAAATTTGACACAACCCAAGTGTCAATCAGCAGTAAAAGGATAAGTTAAATGTGGTATAAAATCATATTATGGGATATACATAGCAATTAAAAAGGATGAACTGCTACATTCATCAACAAGGACAAATTACACACGCAATGTTGAGCATAAGAAATCAGGCATAAGATTACATAGCCCATGATTCCATTTATATAAAGTTGAAGGAAAATGAATCCACGGTGATAGAAGCCAGAATAGAGGCTCTCCATAGAATGATGAGGGAGTGGAAGGTACAATGGGTATTGCCTGGGAAGCACAGGGGAGAGACTCTTTTGGGATGCTGAAAAAGATCCTAATTTGGTTAGTGGTTACATAAATTTCATATATGCATATATATAAAAACATTTATCAAGCTACACATTTAATATTTATGCACTTTACTGTGTGTATGCTGTACCCAATTAACAAGTTTTTTAATTAAGAAAATAATGAGCCTCGTCTTCCTAGCCCCATCCAATTCATCCTTCATATTCTCATTAAAATTATCCATTTTTAAAGCATATGTCATTAGGTTACTCCTCTGTAAAAGTCTTCAGTGGATCCTGTTGCCATGATTTCTCTGCCATGGTTTTTAGGATTCATCATGTCTGGTCCTGTCAACTGTCAGTCTCTTTGCTCCGGGTTTCAGCTAAACCTTTTTGTAATTTGCACCTCAGATCTTCTGTTTCTTTTGAAAACCTGAATGTTCAGGAATCAGCTCTCTCAACAACTAATTTCTCTCCAAAGCCTTCTTTCACAGCCCCCATCTTTTTTCCCCCCAAGGAGGATTAGATGTTCCTTCCTCTCTGCCTCCACATCTCTATTCCACCTCTCCGCCACAGCATCTATTACAGGGTTGTGATACTTATGTCGGCTAACTTAGGGCTGGCATGTTTTTATCTCATTTACACATTTACACTGCGAGTGCCGCAAAGGCAGAGGCTGGTCTTCCTTTGTATTCCTACCCTCCACATACATGTGCTACAGTGAGTAAAAGATAAGAGGTATTTGTGGAATGCCTGAACTCCAAGGTTCTGAAGATGTTTTTGTCTTCCCAATAAAACTAAATATATTAAATTATAATTATTCATCTTACCTTCTTCACCAAAGTCATTGATATATAACTACTGCCCATATTAATAACATATTTGCCCATATTAAACTCGTGTATTAACAGCCAAAAGCAAGGAAACTCAAGGTTTTGGGGAAACTTTGCTTCCTTGTTGCAGATTTTTCCTCAACTTCGATTAGATTTTTCAAAATATTGTAATAGTTCAAAGACTCCCTTAAATATATATATATATATATATATATATATATATATATATATATATATATATATTACCTCTAATATGCGAGACTTTCCAGGTTTAAATAACTATCTATGAACTAAAGATTCATGAAAGAGAATAAAGCGATACATACCTTACACTTTGATATTAGCCTTCATGAAGAACATGCTTTTGGCATGGGCAAAGTCAAAATACTTGGTAATGGTACCACTAAATAGCCATTTATTCATTAGGTAGACACACAAAAGATATGGTTTCTCTCCTCAAGTGGGTATTAGACAACCACAAAGAGTGTTTTTCTGTTGCTTCCATGCAGCTTTCTCTTGCTTTCCTCTGCTGTTCCATTTCTTAGCCTCTTCATTCTCCTCCGTGTCCAAGGAATTCTTGCCAAGATCTGCCCTTGCTCTTGAATACCCTCCCAGAGAGATAACTCTAGGAGCCCTGAAGCAGACCAAGGTAGGCAGCAGGATCATTTGTCAGAATTGAGCTCAAATCCAAGACATCCACAAGTCTCTGCACTACAGGAACTCACAAAGCTGAGAGATGGGAATAAAAAAGGGTTTGGTACTGAAGGAAAGAGGATGGTTAACCCGAAGTTCTTATCCTGACTTCCAATTTCCCATCATTGTTCTAAAAACCTGGACAAGATTTTAAAAACTTAATCAGCCCATACAGGTTAAGACATAAACGAGAAATCCCAGCAAGGACTGAGTGCTGTAATGTTTTCATCAAGGACCATTGAGGGACATATACCCACAAAGGATTTCATCAGCTTTCCAGACTGATTTACTATTAATTAAATTTACCTTATTCAAAATTAAATCTTTAATTTGCCACTACTGTAGCGGGCTCAGATGTAGCATTAGGCTGGAAAGTTGAAACACAGAGAAAGAAAGATTTCACAATCATAAGGAATTAGGAAACCACTGCGCCAGACTACAAGGTTCTGCAGGGGAGAGAACAAAGTCTCCATGACAACCTGGGATATTTTTACTGAGAGTTAGTAGGTTATATAGAAACATTTTCCAGAATTTGGAGGTTGAGTGTGAAGTATAAGAACATGTGTAGGTGTTGAGAGACATTTCAAACTTGAATTTTGATCTTTATTTTTTAGCTTTTCCTTGCAGTCCACATGTTGCTAAATTCTACTCTAAGAGCAAAAGGGCAAAAATAATTTTTTACTCTATATTTATGTAGGAATGTTAGGCACATGTATATATGATTATATGACTTCATTAACGTGAAGGTTTACATTAGCAATGGTACAGTTTTCTTGAAGAACAGAAGAATTATATAATTCCAAATGTTATTATACCCATTCTTGTCTAAAATACCTTAAGTATTAAATAGGTGCCTTATATATTGAATCTACACTATATTACTTTTTTATTTTATAACATTTTTATCTTGTTTTCAGTTTCCTCTGAGTTTCCAAAAGGATCTGCATACAATTCTGTTGTATTATCTATTCAATATCTGATGGCTTATTTAACCAACTTTATGTATTCATTTGTTTTGCACACAAAGTCAATGCAAAATAAAACATTTCTGCCTCTCTGTTTTATACCAGAATCTTCACAGCTACCTTTTAAAATATATACTTTTTATTGATTTTTTTTTTTACAGAGAGGAAGGGAGAGGAATAGAGAGTTAGAACTATCGATGAAAGAGAAACATAGATCAGCTGCCTCCTGCACACCCCCAAACTCCCCATCCCCCAAACTGGGGATATGCCTGCAAGCAGAATCGAACCTGGGGACCCTTCCGTCTGTAGGCTAACGCTCTACGCACTGAGCCAAACCAGTCAGGGTTTCAAGGCTACCATTTATTAAATCCTCACTTTTGTAATTACTATTATCTCCGTTTATGGATCTGGGTAGGGTGGTGAAAAATTTAGTTGCCCAAAGTGCACGTTCCCTACTTAGGTCAAAGGAAGCAAAGCTCTTCCTTCTCATTTCAGCTCTCACACTATAAACAAGTATCCTCTTCACAGTAGTCTATTTAGTGCCACATTTTTCACGTTTTGTGCTTTGTTGGTGGTGATTTTTCTGTTTAAAATGGTCCCCAAGGGCAGTGCTGAAGTACTAGCCAATGCTCTTAAGTGCAAGAACTTCTGTGAGGTGCCTTATGGAGAAAACGCATGTGTAGATAAGCTTCCCTCAGGCATGAGTTACAGTGCTAATGGCCATGAACTCGATGTCAATGAATAGAAAACATATATCAGATAAAGTGTTTTCAAGCCGAAACCCATAAAACAAGGTTATGTATTGATTAGGTGACTAACATGTTGTGCCCAGTGAGTGGCTCACGGGGAATAGCCTTGTTTTCCCCTTGGAGCAATGGTTCAGTATTCGCTAATTTGGCGTTGGCAGGAGCTTTGTAGACCATAACTAGCACAAATAACGGGAATCACCTATAGTGATACTGAAGGAAAAGGGTGTTCTTCAAATGCATCTGATTTCCGTATTAACCCAAGAGGGGGAAAAACTCTTTCCAAGACATTATTGCTCTCCAAAGAGCATGTTAAACAGTGCTCTGTTCTTGAGCAGTTCTTTCACTTGGACGGGGCTCTTCACCTAAATATTGTTTTCCAAGAATTATATCGAGTCATATGCTAAACTTAATAAAGATGAACAGACACGACTCACAGGTACATTCCAAAGCGAACTCTGCTGATGTGTTCCTGCAGAATTCATTGCCCAAATCCGCGGTGCCCAAGTTCTAATAGAACCCAGAAAAGGGTATTATTTCCCTACCTTGGGCGTCCACCTTCCAAACTCTCCCGAGGACATTATAAAAATACGAGAAAAGAAACATTTTCTTCTCTCTTCTTACTCTCACCCAGTAACCACCCAGTATCCCCTCCCACAGGCCTTACAGCTGGTGGCCAGTTTCTCTCTTCCTGTCTCTTTAAGGCGGAGAGCTGGTGGGTTTGCCCTCTTCAGAAATGGCTGCCCGAGCGTCACTCGCCCCGCGGAGCTTCCGGAGCACAATTCTGGGACTTCCGCGGCGCAACATGGGGACTAGCGAGGCTGATCCTCCCAGCGTGCTTTGCAGCCCGGCCGCCAGCCGGTGTCTGGCGATGGGGAGCCCCTGGGGCTTTCGGCCGCCAAACCTCCCGTAGAGGCTGCGGTGGAGCCGGGAGCCTAAGGCCCCGACGGCCATCCCGGGGCGAGATGGAAGCATGGCGCTGTATGAGGAGGGGCTACGGCCGCTGTGTGGTTGGCAGAGGCCGGTCAGTAGATCTGGGTGTCGGAGGGAGAAGGGAGGGGGGGGCTGGGGGCGGGGGCGAGGGCGGGCGCGGGCGGGCGGCCGGGGTGGGCCGGGCGGGTGGGAGGGGAAGGGAGGAGGAGGAGGAGGAGGAGGAGGAAGAGGGTCGGGTGGTGGTGGTGGTGGTGCTGCCGGCAGGAGCCTCCGGAGACCCCCAGGGAGCCCCAGGGATAGGTAAACCCGCCCGCAGCCGGCGGGCGCTGGGCTACGGGGCCCCCATAGGACGCGGGCCTGGTCGCGGGGCGCATGGGCCGCCGGCGGGGCTGGTGCCCTTCGGACCAGACTCGGCTTGGAGCTCGGCCCGCTCCTCCCGCTGCCCAGCCTCCTGGGCGGCCCGAGCCTCTCCGCGCCCCGCAGGCCCCGCTGCCCCGCCCGGAAGCGGACGGTCCCGGGAGGCCGCCTGTCCCCATAGGTCCCGCGCCCTGACCCCGCGGGAGGTGCGCGCCCTGGGTTTGTTGGTGTTCGCGTGTCCCAAACTTGGAGTCCCGTGTATACCAGCCTTGAGCATGGTTACCGAATTCTCGTTCACACCTGTGTTATTTACCGGATTTTTTTTTTTTTTCTTGAAATTGACTCACTTGAAAAAGCACTGCCCACAGGAGCAAAGCCCTAAACAGTTAAATCTGCGAAATCTTGGCTTGGATGTACTGATTGGGTTTTTTTTTTTTTTTCCTTAATGCACCTTAAATAATTCGATATTAAAAAAGCAAGACGTTTAATGGTGTGCCCTATGGGTCTGGCTCGTGTCCCACACGTGGGAAGCACAGCACGGTATTCGTGATTGCATCAGTAATGGGGATTGGGTTTTAATTCCTGTAGTCCTGGGACTTGATGACTGTTCAGTTCCACCATGTTTTCTTGAGTACCAGCTGTGTGCCACGCAATGTGCTAGGCACTTGGGAAGAGCCTGGGATTAAAATGATAGTGATTCACGAAGTTCTGACTTTGAAGGAGCTCATCGTTTTAAGAGGAAAAGACATCTATATCAGGGTGGGCACAAAAGTAGATTTACTGTTGGGAGTACCGAAACACAATTTATTCTTATTTATTGTTGTATTTATTTTCTATAGGTACAATTGTAAACCTACTTTTTGCCCTACTCTGAAAGTAACTGCAAATATAGAAAATGTTTTGTAGTTACAAGTAGTATACTTCAATGTGGTAGCTTATTAGGATGGAAAATGTATTGAGCAAGTAATGTTGTCACAAAACATGTTAGTCTGCCCATTTCATGCCTCTAAAGACTTACAATTAAGTTGAATTTAGAGAACAGTTTGAAAATGCATAAACACCATAAATATATAATAAAAATTAAATGTTGTTAAAATGAAAAGAACATAACCTATAAAAGTCAAGAAATAGAAGATACACTTTAAGCGAAATTCCTTTAGTAATAGAAGTGGACATTGTTGACATTACCTTGGAAATGTACATTTAATGAATTCTGAAGGGGACGATAGAAGTCCTCAATCCTAATATTTTGTCAGAATAGTATAGTAAGAAGATGGTGCCCAATAAAGTCTGAGAGCAACATATCTACCCAACATAATGGTAATGCTATTTTGGGGATATTTTGGATGATGGGTTAAATTGGTGAATTCTAGTAAGTAATCTCTATACTCTTTCATTTCCCTCAAGGAAAAGCATAAGAGAGAGAGAGATGAGAGAGAGAGAGAGAGAGAGAGAGAGAGAGAGAGAGAGAGAGAGAGAGAGAAAGAAATTGATTATCCACCTACTGATTAGCCAGAGAAATCTTTTTGTGAAATTATGATAGGTTTTTGTTCTAGCTATATAAATGTTTGGAAGATATAACTGGTATGAAAAAAAAAAAAACTGTTCAGAAACATGTTTGGTTTTTACTCCAAACCAAGTTGGAAGAAAGATTCACTTTAATTGTAGCCAGCTTATGTGTTATTTAATACTTACTTGATTTGAGTACTATGCTTGCTGTGGATTTTATTTGTCCATTGAGTTTTATTAGATGCTAGAAAGCTAAGCTGAATACCAGTTTGATGGTTGATTTAGCTCTCAGTTGACCTGTGGACTTTTTGAAGTGTATGTATTGTTTTGGAAACTGGTGGCTTCTACATTAAGTGTTTAGAATACCAGCCCTAGTTGTTTAGGAGAGTATTAAGTTGTTTAGGAGAGTATTAAGATACTGCTCTAATCGTTAAATCATGGCTGCTTTTCCCACTTCCTTCACAGATTTAGAGGTCAGATTTTAAATATGAGACCTTGTCTTCCCTCAAGGAAACTAATTTGGATTTTGTATACTGTAGCAGAACCTAAAGTGGTGCCTCAAGGAGTGTATTTATTTCTTTTAGATACCCCATGTTATCCCATCACCAGAGGAGTCTGGGCAGAGACTGGACTACACCGTGGGAGAATCTGCAAAGGTGTTGCTGGAACAGACATATTTCTAGTTGTATGAGGTGGCCTGGACATTATTCTCGTGCTCCTTACCCCTACTTCAGTAGTAGGCATTTCTCGTTAAATTGGAGACCACCTTGTTTGTTTGAGTCTAGAACTCAGTTTCAGTACTGGAATTGGAGACCTGACAACCTGAGCCAGACATCTTTGATTCATCTCTCTAGTTCCATCATGAACTCTGAGGGAGATGAGCCTTCATCAAAACGAAGAAAACACCAAGGTAAAGGTGACATGTATCTTGGTGCAGGAATAGATGTAAACCATAAACCGTTTGCAGCTTTCATGCCTCATCTTCAAGAAAACCTCCTGTAGATTTTAGAGGTGTTTGGTTTTTATTTTCAGCCTGTAGTTTTCTGTAAGGAAAAGGGACATTTTTTTTTTTTAATGCAGTTGTTATTTTTATCTTCAATTAATTGTGTATTTCTGGCAATAAAAACAAAAGTGACTCTACAAATAGGATAAGGTGGAAAAAAATGGAGGACTAGATTAAAACATTAAGTTTAATTTAAGAATAATTTTTAAATCCAGTGTTATTGAAACAAAGGTTCTTAGATTTCTTAGAAATTGGTGGAAATATTATTGGAAGTCCACAGATCTATAAAACTAAATTTCATTTTTAAGCTAACTTTTGAAAAATAAGACAAAAGGATTTTCTTAAATAGAAATAGTCAAATGAAAGATATTTTCTCACAGAATAGGATTTTAACTTACAAAATCTGTATTTCTCATCCTAAGGTCTATTGATCTAATCTTGAGAGGCTATGAAAAGTTTTATCTTTTAAAATACTTTATTCAACTTTAAGAAACAGTTGGTTATTCCTGTTTTTCTCATATTCTTTTTACTCTAAACAATTAACAAGACTCTCTCTGCACTGCCAGTCCTAACCTTGCCCCCCAAGTATATAAGTAGAACTTGGAATTGTCTTCCTGACTGAGCTATGGTTTTCCGTGAAGATAATGCCTCTGAAGATAATTGAAAGTAGGCTGTGTAGGTGTTAATGTGAGAGCAGACATAATTTTGTCAAAGGAAGACATTAACCTAAAAAACAGAGAGCTAAAAGATTAGTTAGTGTTCTTTTAAGAAGCAATTCTACTACACATTTAAGTAGAAATTCTAAGCACTCAGAAGTGAAAATCTGTTTTCACTCAGAAGTGAAAATCTATTAGCCACAGTTGGAATCAATGAAAGGTTTAGAGGCATTAAAATGAGTTTCCTAAGAACAATCCATAATCTCTAAACCCAGGGCTATATGATATGAGATTGCTTTTCATTGATGTATTCATTGCCCATCGAGGCAGCACACTTCTCTTGTAAAACTGGTAGCTGTCAGGTGGAGCTGTGCCATGTGCCAAAGTGACATAAGCATGGGCTTAGGAATCGCTCCCCTGCTGTCATTCTGCTCCACTGATTGTGTGAACTTGGATGAATTATTGAAACTCTCTGCTCCTTGGTTTCCTAGTGCAAAGTAATGCTTACTTTCAAAGCCTGTTGACAATGAAATGAGATGTCAAAGTGCCCAGCATACTGTTGGCTTCATAGTAGGTACTCAGAAAATTGTGGTGGTGGTATTTTCCCTTTAATGGATGGGGAATTACATTTACACACTGATAAACTTGGATTGCAACCTGACTCTGTATATGTCCATTCTTCCTAGGTATTGTGAATAAGGAAAATGCTCTTCGTTAAGCCATATTTGTGACTTCCGATATTTCACTAATACTTTCCAATCAAGAGAACAGCATTGCTAAGTTGCCTATCACTTTAAAGTGGTATTTGAAGGATTTGTGTGACACAATTAAGACTTTTTAATTAGGCACCCTAAAAACCTGATCAGGCCTAGTGCTTACTTTCTTTGATTCATCTGTCTTCTCTGCTGTGATCACCTTGTTCCTCCTGACATGGAAGGTATATAAGCTTTTGTGGTATGAATTTATGTTGTGAAGTATATGAAGACCAAAGACTATTTACTCCATCAGTGGTTTTCAAATTGGCTTCCATGGAACTCTAGCATTCAAACACATTTCTGTATGTTTATTCAAAGCAGTGTGGTCGGAATAAATGTATTTACCCCATCACTCCACTCCCAGTCCCAGATTACCAGGGATTGGTGTTCATGACCTGAAAAGTAACGCTGAAGGGTCATGCAAGCTCTAGAGGTTGAAAGCCACTGTATTGGTGCAATGTTAGGTATTGTATAATCCAGTTAAATAAAAACCCTTTGTGCAAGAAAAGGAAGAGATTCTAGGGCTGAGATTTCTTATATTATTGAGTCATGCTTGGAAGTCCATCCCCTAGTTTATTTCTCCCAGGTTCTTCCCATTTCTTGTTTTCTCCTTCATTTGAGTCCATATATTCTCTAAAAGTCGCACATTTTTCTTCATGGCTTCCAGGCAGCTAAAGTATGCCCTTTAGTGGTGGGATGAGGGAGACAAGATCCAATGAGAAAACATAGATATGGTGGTCATTTCTAAACCAAGGACTGCCTGTAATTGCAAAATCTCATGCTTTTTGATTCTCTTTTCATCACTTTTTCAGGGTACATGATGTCTTTGCAGAATATAAATCATCACACATTCCTGGTTGCTGCATGCTAGGTTCGTCAACCAGCCATTGTCATTTACCAGCATTCTGTAACTATGTTACATGTAACTTTTACTTTGGTATGCATTAAAAAGTTTTTTTGTTCATTTTGTTTGCATCGTTCCACTTCAGTTTTAGACACTAAATACTGCTTCTGTATATTGTCATTCTACATCATTCATATGTTCTAAAGCAGAATTCTGAGATGTGTTCTTTATGGAATCACTGGATGATCTGATCTTAATAGGGAATAAAATATGTGAAAAAATCTTATTGGAAAGCCAGCTGTGACATACAAATATTATGGTTACAAAGTTGCTAATTCACTTTTTAACCATAAAGAAGTGAGAAACCACACCCTTAGATAGTCTGAGTTTTATAAAAACACACTCTTCATCTCCAGAATGCCTTGCTAGATCCTTTTAACCTGTTGTGTACCTCTTGGTCAGTCAGTATTTCATTTTACAGCCTTCTAATCAATTTAGTGACAACTTCTGGTTATTCAGTGCTGTATTGCCATTTTCTATGGGGAAACATTGTGTTCATTGCCTATGGAAAATTTTTAAAAGGCAAGAAAATACTTACATACAAGAAAACATATGGCCTGTTTTTAAAATTAATTCTTTATATTTTGTCCAATGTTTTAACAGGCACCATAAAACGGCATTGGGAATATATATGTAGCCATAATAAAGAAAATACGAAGATTCTAGGAGACGAAAATGTTGACCCCATATGTGAAGACAATGAGAACAAGTTTGACTTTTCAGTGATGTCCTATAATATACTTTCACAAAATTTATTGGAAGATAATTCACACCTCTATAGACACTGCCGGCGACCATTATTACACTGGAGTTTTAGGTTTCCCAATATTCTGAAAGAAATTAAACACTATGATGCAGATGTAAGTACAAAATATCTAAATTCTTCACACAAGAAAGAGTTGGGTTAAATGGTTCATTTGTAAACTAAATGGTTTTCTCCCTTTTGTTTGGTTAGAAGGGAAGACATTTAAATATAGTGATGGAACAGTTCTTTTTTTTTTTTTTTAATTTATTGATTTTATACAGAGAGGAAGGAAGAGAGATAGAGAGTTAGAAACATCGATGAGAGAGAGTCATCGATCAGCTGCCTCTTGCACACCCCCTACTGGGGATGTGCCCGCAACCAAGGTACATGCCCTCGACCGGAATCAAACCCGGGACCCTTCAGTCTCCAAGCCGACGCTCTATCCATTGAGCCAAACCGGTCCTGGCAGATGGAACAGTTCTTAACAAGATATCTTGACTTCCATAGAGTCATTTGCTGATGGTTGTTGGTACAAATAATCATCTAACTTTTCAAAAAGATCCAAAAATCTTAAGTATTGGTCAGTTCTGAGATAGGGTCTAGCAACATATTAAGTATTCAGTAAATATTTACTTTTACTTTAAATAATTGATGCAAAAATTAATCTAAAAAATGACTTTCAAAGAAATCGCCTCTTAAGAAAGAACAAGAAGGATTTAGTACTAATACATGTGTAAATTCGGGGGAAATGTTCTGATGTGTAAATTAAGAATATAGTAAGTTTTGTTTAGTAAGAAAGCTTCATGTGATTAAAGGCCAGGGGTTGGGGCACTGGTCAAATTTGGGAACATAACATTAATTTGATTGACGTGTAAATTATAAGAAAATAAAATATTTTGCAACTTTTATCAGGCTTTTAAAATTTTAAAGCCTGTGTTCAGAGATGCAAGCACCAGAGCATTTATCTCTCTTCTTCTTCTTTTTTTTTTTTTTTTTTTTTTTTAATTCAAAGCCTCTTTTTTCTTCCAAGGTACTTTGTTTGCAAGAAGTTCAAGAAGATCATTATGGAACAGAGATCAGGCCAAGTTTGGAATCCTTGGGTACAATGTAACTTTTATTTTAGCCAAATTTACTTTGGAAGATTGGTATGTTAAAGCATAACTTGCTAACAAAGAAGTATGGCATATTTGGGCCAAAAATCTCAAATTTTGAAAAATGTAATACCTATTTCAAAAGGCCAGGAAAAGGTTGACGTATTTCAAGTGAAAACTTTTGTGCTGATATGTAATTTTAATTCAAAGGGAATGATGCGCAAGAATCTCTTAATAGCTTCCTTTGTAGGATTTGCTTTGCCCATCACTGCTAGACTCAGAATTCCTAGCTCCATGAGATGAGGGACCATTCTGTCTAGGTCATTATTATAACACGCGTGTTTACCAGTGTCTAATGGATAGAAACTAAAAGCCTCTTTGATGAATGAACACTTTTAAATGATCTGTTTGACAAATGCTGCTTGCTTTGCATTCATTCATTCAAGAAATATTTTTTGAATACTTGCTGTACATCATGCAAAATTTGTTCTAGGCAGTGGGGATACAACAGTGAGCAAAACAGAAAAAAGTCTCTGCTCTGATGCAATAGATTCTAGTGGAGAAAGGCTGATAATAAATCAAATAAATGTGTAAACAGTTCCTATATTTTCTGGAGAAAAACAGGAAAGTGCAATGAATCAGATTTCAATTGTAAATAGATGATCAGAGAAAGTAACATTTGAGTAAAGACTTAAAGGAGGTGAATGAACAAGCCATGCCTAAACCATTCCAGACTGAGAAAATAGCAAAGGAAAGGCCCTAAGGTTGTAGTGCCCTAAGGCAGACAAGCAGACTAGTGTGTGTGTGATGGAGCAAGAAGGGAAGAGTTGGGGCAAAAAGATCAGAGGTTCTTGGTGAGTAGGTTGTTACAAATCCCTGCTGTCTTTGTCATGACTGACTTTTACTAGGAAGCAAATGAGAACCTGATGATACACATTAACATATTTAAGATTGAAGTCTGCCCATAAAGAGACCTATTAGACCTAGTCCCAACCTTTTTTGCTTCCAACACTTATTCCTACATTACTGTTTTTTAAAATACACTTTGGTAAACATTGTTCAAAAATATTAGTTCTGTGTGTGTATATATATATTCTTCCTACATAATAAAAGGCTAATATGCAAATCAATGGAATGAACAGTAGCTATGATGCACACTGACCATCAGGGTGCAGACGCTCAACACAGGAGCTGCCCCCTGGTGGTCAATGTGCTCCCACAGGGGGAGTGCTGCTCAGCCAAAAGCCAGGCTCATGTCTGATGAGCACAGTGGCGTTGGCCTCTCCCACCTCTGAGGCAGCGCTAAGGATATCCAACTGATGGCTTAGGCCTGCTCCCTGGCAGTTGGACATTCCCCAAGAGCTCCCAGACTGCAAGAGGGCACAGGCTGAGCTGTGGGACCCTCCTCTCAAGTGCCTGAATTTTGTGCACTGGGCCTCTAGTATATATCGAATTTTGTGCACTGGGCCTCTAGTATATATCGAATATATATATAAAGTCCATTGTTTTTAATTTTCTTTCTTTTTTTTTTTTTTTTAATAGGTTATCACTGTGAGTACAAGAATCGTACAGGAAGGAAACCAGATGGCTGTGCCATTTGCTTCAAACATTCCAAATTTTCACTTTTATCAGTGAACCCAGTGGAATTCTACCGCCCTGATGTTCCTCTGTTGGACAGAGACAATGTTGGATTAGTGTTACTCTTGCAGCCCAAAATTCCAAGTGGTGACTCTCCTGCAATCTGTGTAGCTAACACACATCTGTTGTATAACCCAAGGCGAGGTGATATTAAGCTGACCCAATTGGCAATGCTTCTGGCAGAGATTTCCAGTGTTGCCCATCAGAAAGATGGCAGCTTCCACCCTATTATTATTTGTGGTGACTTTAATTCTGTTCCTGGTTCTCCACTCTATAGTTTCATAAAGGACGGAAAACTGAATTATGAAGGACTTGCCATAGGAAAGGTAAGTGCTTACTTCATCACTACTAGGAGGTGGACTTGGCTCTCTGTTCACTGTAATGTGAGGATAGTCATCAAAGCCTGTTTGACCTTGAATGATTCAGTACCCTCACTTTACCAACCTATGTTGATTTTCACAACTGGTAAGAGTGCTTATATCCACTTGGTTGAATTTCATCTTTTCCATCTATTTGTGGCAACATTCTGCTTTGAGGAATTAGCAGGCTGCAAAAAATCCAAAATGGGCTCTGACCGGTTTGGCTCAATGGATAGAATGGCCTGCGGACTGAAGGGTCCCGGGTTCGATTCCAATCAAGGGCATGTACCTTGGTTGTAGGCACATGCCCAGTAGGGTGTGTGCAGGAGGCAGCTGATCGATGTTTCTCTCTCATCGATGTTTCTAACTCTATCCCTCTCCCTTTCTCTCTGTAAAAAAAAAAAAAAAAATCAATAAAATATATCTAAAAAAAAATCCAGAATGAGAGAAAAAAAGAAACATTGACAAACATGAATACTTCATAAATAAGAAGCTACTTACAAGGTGGTAGAATAGACTTTGGAATGCTGGATGTGAGCAATAAATACAGTTAGCAAAACAGTACTTTAATATTTCTGTATAATTTCCTTTGCATATGATAAATATTTTCATTCCATAGCTGAGTATCAGTTATCATGATTTCCATTGTGTTCTCTGCTGCTTACTTTTGATCCTTGGATCTTCAGTATATTTAACCAAATAAGTTTTTCACCACTGACTTTTGATAGTTTAAAACTTTATAAGAGTTTAACTCTCTTAATATTTTCTAAAATAGGAACTATATTGCAGGTAGCAAAAAGGAGGGGCAGTATTAGTCTAAAGTGATAGATCATTTAGGTGGCCAAATTAGAGAAAAACACGTATAAGAAAAGATTGCTATTTCCATGTAATTAAGTGCTTTCTGAACTATATTTGAACAAGATTCTATAAGCACAAATAATCACTTAATATAATGAAAAAAAGTAATATCATTCTTGGATTCCCTTTCATTTAACAAACTTTTCAGTACAAAACTATTTAAAATCTACTCACTTAAGATACCTGTTGAAATTTTGTTTAGGTATCTGGCCAGGAACAGTCTTCACGGGGACAAAGAATTTTATCTATTCCAATTTGGCCCCCAAACCTAGGTATCTCACAGAACTGTGTATATGAGGTACAGCAGGTACCAAAAGTAGAAAAGACAGGTAAGTGTTTGCAATATATTTTGGCAGTCTTCTTCATAATACTTTCCCTTTGAACATAGAACTAAAATTTTTAAAGGATAGCGTCTCAGAAATAAATATTCATGTACTATACAAACATGTACTTGTTTGCTTATTCATTTATTATTCAGAGACCTATAAACTTTCCTTTTTTAAAGTTGAGCTTTACAAATTATCTGCATGAATTATTTGCACGTTGCTTTGGAAATGTTTGCATTTTATGTTTGCTACTTTTGGAAATCAAAACATACAGCTTTTAGGATGAAACATTTAACTAGGCATTCTATCTAAATTAGATATGTCTTAAATATTGTACCTAGAATAAAAGGCAAACTAGAATAAAACAATATATTGATAGTGTTAAATATATAGTTTTCTTTGTTCTACAGACAGTGATCCGACACAAATACAGCTGGATAAAACAGAAGTCCTAGAGACAGCTGAAAAGTGAGTTCTGGAAAGCAATAGTGTACATTAGCTGACTTTAGTTAATAAGATGGTTTCTCAAAACTGATTTTTTTTAAAAGTGATTAAAAAATTAAGATATTCTGTGCTGGTGAAGGATGTTGGCTCTATTAGACTGCCACAAATATTTTAATTTGTAAAAATGCAACATCTGCAAAGTGCAATAGTGAAGTGCAGTAAAATGAGGAATGCCTGTAAATTACATTTTATTAGTAAGTTGAGGCTCTGAATAGAATTAATAAATCACATGCATATATTAACTATTGAGTTCCCTCCCACCCGCATACTTCATAGCCTTCTTAGTGGGTTTTGATATTACTGCATGAATGCCAAATTGTGATATTGTCTGTTTAAGTAAAGCTGTTCTAATATCTGGCTTTGTCTGGAAATTAAATAAAAAAGTGCTTTAATAGGAGGAATTATAAATCATGAAAAACTTGATAGATGCTAAACACTTTGTCTTTTTAATTTAGGTTATCTTCACATTTACAGCACCATTTCAGCTTATCATCTGTTTATTCGCATTATTTTCCTGACACTGGGATTCCAGAAGTAACCACCTGTCATTCCCGAAATGCCATAACTGTGGATTATATTTTCTATTCTGGGGAAAAGAAAGATGTTACTGGGGAGCCAGGTAAAGCAAGCATGGAATCTTAAGTTATGCCCAGAGCACAGTAACTAAACCTCAGGGCTGAAATTGGCAAAGTTATTAGCAAAACATCTAGATGAAGTTCTAGATTTACAAGTTAAAAATACTTTTTAATTGGTAATATATTTGACAGATTGGTAATGCATTTGAATAATCATTTAATCATCTGAAAAAGATGGAGGTGTGGAACTCCTCAAAGCAAATTATCCAGGAATTATATCTTCAGCTCTACCTTTCAGCCCAGTCACTTTCTGAGTTCTAGTTCATATTGCCTTTTGATTTTACTTGGCTGTTACTTAGTTTTATTGTGCCAGCAACATATAATGTTTGTACTTAAATTGTGTTGCAGTATCCTGCCTTCATTGGAGAGGACTTTGCTTAAACTTTCAACAATAGACAGTTTTGTCATATTGACCTTAGACTATTTTTTTTCTTCCCTGGAAAGATGTCTGTATTTTCAAAAAGCAAAGATGCTAAAACATTTCCTGGTATGAGTCAATGAAAACAAGACTTTATTAACTAAGGATTTAACATAGGAAGAAAATGTAGTTTCATATAAGTGGAAGTCAGAAAACACCATTTAGAAAACTGGAAGTTCATAATATTGGCAAATGTCTTTTCTGATTTTCCCTATTTTCAATTTTTTTGTACTACTTTTCTTTTCCCCTTTTGTTTTTTTTCTTCCTCTTGAGGATATTAGTAATATTCAAGAGATGGCTTACTGCTCCCCACTAGATCAGCTCTACAAAATATGCTCCTTACTTTGGATTTGTAATAGGTTCTGGTAGTTATCATGCCAGAACTGTTCACTAGGTGGCGGAAGTGTGTCATAGATCAACACCTCAAATTTTAACATTTAAGAGCATGTCCACTTTTATTCTTCCTGTTGACCCAATTGGCAATGCTTATAAATTTATTTTCCAGTCACCTTACAAAATTTTTTCCTTAGCTTTAACTGTGCCTGTCTGGTTTTACACAACTGTAGAATGATTGATGGATAAATTTCTTATATAGTTGTAAATACCAAATCAGTCTTAACATTCTTATTACATTGATGTTTTTTCTGGATTATTTTCAGAACTTGAAATAGAAAAAATATCTTAAATAGAAAAAAACAAGCATATGAAACTGCTACGTATTTGAGAACTATAACTAGGTTACACTCAACAAATAATTATATTCCAAAAACTTAACAAATTACATTAGTAAAAATTTTTATCATATTCTAAAAACTGTTTCATATTTAGACTTCCAGAGAGGTCTCAAGTTCTATATTGTTGTTTAGAAAGAAAAGACTTTGCATGATTAATTTACAATTTGTTGACACAGTTTCATTAAATATGTGTGTTTCTTTAATGTAGGAACTGAAGTTGCTTTGGTTGGAGGCTTGAAACTTCTAGCTAGACTTTCACTTCTTACAGAAGAAGACTTGTGGACTGTTAATGGACTTCCAAATGAAAACAACTCTTCAGATCATCTGCCTTTACTGGCCAAATTCAGACTTGAACTCTGACTCTTCTTTGATTATATATATACCTTTCTTTCCAATTTATATTCTTTCTCAAAAACTGTAAAGTTGTTCTTAAGAGTTTGTATGTTGTTTATTTTTGCGCTGTGGAGTTTCTGAAGAGGTTATGTTAAATGCTTGGAACTGAAATCGAAGACACAAGTTTACAATAATTTTTTCATAATGAAAGAATATTTTCCTGACAAATGATACCTAAATTCTTTTTATTGTAAAATAATTGTAAATATTTTTCTGAATTCTAGTAAAATAGACAGTGACTTTTTAAAATAGTGCATCTTTAGACCTCTTAATAAAAAATTCCATTTTATGTGTTTGGCAAGTTTTATGGTGAATCCCAAGTGTTTTGCTTCTGTAATGTGTTTTAATGTGATGTAGCAGTGTGAGATAGTCCCAACATTTTTTTATGAAGTGGTTAAGAGCGAATCTAATCATTAATTCTGCATTTGGCTCTGTGTTTGAATCAAAAATTTTAAACCATAAAAAGAAAATGTCTCTTTTTTTAGACATGGTAATCAAAGAATTATGTGTATTTTCACTGAATAATTTTATATTGAATTATACTGAATTATAAAAGTTTTTACAGTGAGTTTTCTTAATGTAATGCTTCACTTTACATTAGAAAGCAGTAGTTGCTTTGTAGTCTTGGACTTTAAAAGTTTTTGTATTATTTACTGCCATTACTAAAATAAATAAATAAATAAATAAATAAATAAATAAATAAATAAATAAAAATAGATGAATATCCCAAAGGCATGTGGGCTATAAGGATCTGGCTAGTAAAAATTGTAATACTTTTAAATGTTTAATTTTTCACTTTGGGGCTTTTTTATTTATGGTATTAACTATAGTTCTAGGATTTTGCACATTTTCTAGTCACAGTTTTCAGAATATTCTGATCTGCCTAATTAGCAGATAATAGTATCAGATAGTATAATTATCCCCTTTCAGTATTTGGGAAAGAAAAATGAAAATTCATTGATTACTGCTTTCTGTTGTGTGAATTAACAAATAACTAACTATAGGTCATTAATGACAGACTAACATCCCTGAATACCTCTGTGGAAAATGCAGTTTTTCATATCCTGATCAATATATTGTGATTTTAGGCTCTTTTCATGTGCTTCACTTTTAGAGTTAATCCATAAAATTGCTTTCTTCTTTATCTTATAGAATGAAGTATTAGTTTGTAGGACTGGAGGCCAAAAAGGTCAATGTAACTTTTTCACAAGTTTTTAAAGCTCCACTAAAATTAATTATCCACTTGTCTTTGTTTTCGTCAGAAGAGTTGGTGACTGTCAGAGCGTACTACTTACCTGCCAAAAGCAATGAAATCTGGCTGTTTGCTGAAACTAAGTTCCCCACAACCTCAAGTGCTATACTACCCAACTTTTCCATGGAAAGGGATGTTGTGGAGTCATGAAATTTTGGGTTGATGATTTGATATCAAGATAATAGGCATATTTGAAAGCTTGTCCTTTATATCTTTTCTTTTTCTTTTGGAATTTAGCCACAGTCTGTTTTTAACCCTTTGCTTTAGTAAAATGTAAGAATCCAGAGAGTATAAGGGGTTGGGGAAACAGACATCAAGTTGTTTGCACTTTGTACCTGTAAATTACCTAATAAAGTATTATACTAGCACATATGTGTCTGAGGGTTTTTTTTTGTTTATTTTGTTAATCCTTACCCAAAGATATTTTTTCCATTTATACTAGAGAGAGAGTGGAAGTGGGGGGAGACAGAGATTGAGAGAAACACACTGATTGTAGGCTCCTTGACTAGGGCTGGGGAGCAAGACTGCAACCAAGGTGAGTCCTTGACCAGAATCGAACCCATAGCCCTTCAGTCCGAGGTCTGGTACTGTAACCACTGAGTCATACTGGCTAGGGCTGTGTCCGAGGTATTCTTGGTAAGGTATACTAAGCTGTGTAAGCTGGCTTGTTGCCTTTTCTAAATGATTCCATCACCCTTTCCAACTTTTATTACTTAGGCTGATGCTAAAATATAAGTGAATTAATATACACCAAAATAGAGTGATGTTTAATGTAGAGTTTGAAAACGGTGAGAGAAGACAGAATGAGAAACTAGTTGACTAGGACAAGTAAGTGGACAAGAAAAAATAAATACATCATGTTACATTTTTAGAAGAAAAACAATCCTTAAGTTTCCAGGGTGGTTTTATTAAAGTCTCATGCTGTATAAACATGTAAGTGATGAGAAAAACATGAACTTGAAACATGCACTATCTGACATTCTCTAAAATACATTATACAAGTTGTCATTTACTTAGAAAAATACCCACTAAAACAATCAGTTTTCCTTAAAGATTTAAAAAAAAACGTATTGGCCAGAACAAAGTCCAAGAGAATAAACAAGATTCTGAATTGTATGTCAAAAAAACTGTACAAGGTTGTACATAAAACTAGGTTACAAAAGCCTTGGGTATAGTAAGAATACTGAATTAAGATTTCCAAAGTTCTATTTACCAATATCTATTAATAAAATCCTTATGAAATAATTGACTTAGAAAAAGTGAAATGCTCATGATTTCAGAGTGTATAGAAAATACTAAATACCACTTTTTTAAGTAAAGTGTACTCAAAACAGCACAACATGTAGTCTAAAATCAAGATTCCTGTCATTCATTTAAACTTTGCATTTATTGCCACTGTGGCTTACGCATAACAATTCTCTTAACATAAATAACTTTTTCAAAACTACATTTCAAATAATCTGTTTCATTTTTTATCTTTTTGAATTATATAGCCAGTTTCAATATCAAATTCTTTTTTTGGGGGGGAGGGGGGGAGAAATTACATCATGATTTTTTGTTTGTTTTGACTTAAATTACAGCATTAGACTGTAAGTTTGGTTTCTCACATCTTTTAAAAATTAACATTCCATAGGCATTAAAAATAGAATGAAAACTAAAACATCTTCCATGAATTTTCATATTCCTGTGACTAACTCTTGCTTTGGGGAAATGATTAAAATCTAGTATGGAAGAAATTGTTACTTAATTGAATCATCAAGTCAATTGGCAGTTTTAAGGTTTATCCATTATCCATAGAAACAGTTTATATCCCTACTTTCCTCTTTTTTTGTAGGAAACAGGAGGCTATGCAGCTATGGAGTTTTTGTATTTTAGTTGGGACAATACTTAGGTAATGATCGGAAAATCCTATTCCAAGCTCTCAGAATGATTGCAATGTTACAAATAGTCTTAATATATAATAAAGTTTCAGATTGATAGTATCGTTTTTGGAATGAGAATAAAATGATTTACTGAGTACTCTAAATGCACCTGGCCATGGATTGCAAATGGGTTTGCCTTGGGAAGATATACAAAGATAATTCATTTTAAACTCTGCTGACAGATAATACTCTTCTTAAACCGATTAAGTTCAGAATTGTTAACTTAATGTTATTCTTTATTTTAATAGAGGTGTATACCTACTTGCTCCTGTTTATGTAAAGACATTAGACTTCCTTCTTTTTCTAGAAAACAATACTTTCCAGTAATAACATTGACTTTGAGGGTAAAATGAGTTCATGTGCAGATGGCTAGAGAATGAAGTCCCTTTGCTCTCCATGTCACTCTCAGAGGCCAAGAATCTGAATGAGCAGTTTCTTACTTTTTTTTTTTTTAATCCCTTCCTAAAATCATCTCATCAGAGAAAGCCAGAGAGGAGCCCTGAGACTGAACTAACACTTTTGCTGACTAATGGACTTCACTTTTGGTCTCATGAGTTGGCATATTATGAAAATAAAACAAATGAAATAGAAGCTGTACGCTTGGTATTGATCACATACAGACTTGGGATGCTGTTGGAGTTATGCTGTATGATTTGCAGCCATAAGTCACTGTAACTACCATGTGCAGGCCAGGTAGTCATACTGTGCTTCATGGACCAAGTTACGCTTTCAGGTGTAACATGAGACCTGAAGACATTTCCATTAAAAAAAAGAAGAAGAAGAAAAGGTTCCATGCTTCTCTAATTCATTGCATTTTTCCAATACCAGTTCCTAAATGTCAGCGAGATACTGGAAAATAATCCCATCGCACCCCATTTGGTCTTAATATAAGACATCAGAACAGGTCTCTCACAACAGTGAGTCCTTCGGAATCAAGGCCCAGCTCAGAATTTAAGGATCAGATGAAATGTGAGCAGAAAGATGATCTGTTTCTGAAGACCTGCTGTTTCATGCCTGGCTTCTTTACCTTGCTGAGTTCTGTTATTAGAGGTAATTGCCAGACTGCTAAATTTTCCCTCTACCGGGTGGTCGCTTCTACTTTTGTAGAGTCTGCAAAGTTTAAATGTTAGTGACAGGACATAGACTAGCTCTCGCTGTGCTGTTTTTTGTTTTGTTTGGAAAGAACAAAAGCTGCTGTCAGTGAATGCTTCAAGAAAGAAGTGACTCCAAGATCCTAAAAAATGGTTTCCCGTATTGCCAGAAGAATTTCAGTGCTGTTTTAGCAAAGCACCTGCATATTATACCTTAAATCTCATCACATGTATGCACCAGGAAAGAATTCCAAGCTTTGTAGCGGGTCCCCTTGGGAAATATTGGGGAACCCATACAAATAGAATATATATAAAAAAAACAAAACACCATTAAGCTTGCATATCTTGATGTCAAAATGCTGAGGTAATATTGACAGCTTAAAAAAAAACACTTACCAATCTTTGCCTCTGTTATTGCTGCAAAAAACATTAATACTGATTGAGTTACCTTACTATTATCAAAAGTGGGAGGGGGGGTTTCAGAAACACTTAAATCGGTGAGGGATAATGGTGAAAGCGAGTAAAAAAATGCGGGTAAATGGAAACATACAGAACTACAGTGGTCGTAGTACCCTTTCCATCTGGAGTGAGGGGGACCGTCCAACCCCAGTGGGGTTTATGACGTTAGCCTTTTCACGGTTGGCCCCTTTGTGAATGTTTTTTTACGTTGTTACCACCCACTCAGGTTCTACTTCCAAGAGAATCCTTAAAAATAAAACCCACAGGTTCTTAATAAATAGTTGCAGTTCCTCCTGAAGATGCTGGGTAAAGTGCAGAGAGAAGCACCACGAGAAGGCCTCTGGCCCACTGGCATGGCTTGCCTAAATCCGAATCTGATAGCCCACTTCGTTCAGAGTGCTGAGGTCAGCCACCTTCTTCTCAGGCAGGGCAGGCCTAAGGGGAAAAGACAGGTGGTGGGGGCAAAGGGATGGGACAGAAAAAGAACATGATTAATATTTTCAGGGGCCACCTTTACTCCGTTTTCCTAACTCTGCAATATTTGTCCCCACCCCAGCAGCCTCAGCTCCTAACTCTACCTCTTGTACTTGTCCACCTTTTATAGGTTTTTAAGGAACATTTTAACAGGCTTTCAATCTAGAGTTCAAGAAGATGTACAGGTTGCTGAGTGAGTTTGTTCATCTTTAAGCCTGAAAATCCGGTCGGTCATGTTCTAACCTGTGACCCTCACAAGGGTCTAAAGAATTGCATTTACTACAGAAGGACTAAAAATGGGAGCCAGAGTCTCTTCAAAACATTGGCTTCCCAGTGTCCGTGCCCTGGGGGAAGCCAGCAGCTGCAAGAGGTCTTGGGTGACTTGGTCTCCAGGAGAGATGCTGTTATCTGTGAGAGGGTTACTACTCCAGACTTGAATGTATATGATCAGGTGAACCTTTGAGAGTACATCTGAAAAAGCAGGTCACACTGCGAAGTCATTCAGAGGCAAAACATCTCTCTTCTCTAAATGCATTGTCTAAGGTACTTTCCCACAGACAACTACACCGAAGCATGTATGTGTCTTCCCCTCCACAGTGTACCCCACTTTTAGAAAATTTTCATAATCAAAAATTCACTTTCTTTCTTTCTTTCTTTTTTTAAGTATTTTATTGATTTTGTACAGAGAGGAAGGGAGAGAGAGAGAGAGTTAGAAATACCGATGAGAGAGAGTCATCGATCAGCTGCCTCTTGCACACCCCCTACTGGGGATATGCCTGCAACCAAGGTACATGCCCTTGACCAGAATCGAACCCGGGACCCTTCAGTCCCCAAGCCGACGCTCTATCCATTGAGCCAAACCGGTTTCGGCAAAATTCACTTTCTTAAAGATTACGCTTGAAATGCTCATAGCTAATCTTTGCTTTCTTAGAGCAATTAAAATCTGATTTCCACACTACCTCTCCCAGTACGGTGACTGTGTAAGTATATATTTCTTACACGATATAAATGACTCTTGTTTTTAGCGGATGGTTTTATGGCAGAGACGGTTAGTTGCCCCTCAGTTAGTTGTTCAGTTAGTAGACGGTTAGTTGCTCATCCACTCTTCGCCTTCTTCAATAAAGACACCCCTGTTTAGCCAAAATCTGTTTGGCTCAGTGGATAGAGTGTCGGTCTGTGGACTGAAAGGTCCCAGGTTTGATTCCGGCCAAGGGCATGTACCTTGGTTGCGGGCACATCTCCAGTAGGGGGTGTGCAAGAGGCAGCTGATCGATGATTCTCTCTCATCGATATTTCTAACTCTCTATCCCTCTCTCTTCCTCTCTGTAAAAAAATCAATAAAATATATATATATTTTTTAAAAAGACACCCCTGTTTCCAACTGGGCACAGAGCTGCCCAAAATACACACCACCTTTCCCAGCCTTCCTGATGCTGGGCGTAGCCTTGGACTAAGTAGACGTGGGGAGTGGCTGTCAGTTACCAGGACACCTGTTCAAAGGACACCTGGCATGTGCCCTTCCCCTTCTCCCCCTTTCCTGTCTTCCTTGGGGAAGTGACAGCTGGGGCTGGGCCCCCAGATGGCTCTCTGAAGAGGCCGAGAGTAGTAAGAGCCCCCCCCATCCACCCACCCAGTTGAGCTTGGTTCACATATGGTGAATCATGGTTAAGCCACAGCTTCAAGCTAACCTTCCCCACAGCCATGGGAAGGTTGTCCTAATTGGTCCCATTTCCCTCCATTAACCCATGAATACAAGGCTAATTCAGACACATGCTAGGAACAGTGAGAGCTGAGTAGGCCTGAAGGCTAGTATTTAGAGTAAGGAGAACGTGTCTCTAGCCAGTTCTCTAAAATTCCACTCAGGGCAAGCTGCCACACCCTAAAGGAAGTCCAGAGACTGACTTCTAAGAGGCAGTCTCAGCCCTGTGCAGGACCTAGGCCCTGGTGGCTCTTTAGCTCTCCGGTTGTCTCTGAAAATGAAGCAATTCCTGGTGTTTAACAAGACAATCCCTGTCCCATGGCCCTTGCAGTATCCGCCAAGGAGCTCCCCCAGGTTCTGAACCTTTCTTTCTGGCCTGGGACCTTCCTCCACACCAAGCCACGCCGCTTTTGAAACTCTCCGCGTGCTGCCCTTCCTGTATAACAACACTGCTTAGTAAGACACCGGCTTCCTATTGTTTGTCAGGGGTAAAGATAAATCTGCACTCACGTATTTTCTCTCCCTCGGTCCTGTCCCCAGGAAAATTGGCAGCACGGGTAGCTACCGGGTAGGTCAAGGAGAGAACAAAGCCTCCCCACTCAGCCCTGAGGTGTGGGCGTCCCCAGGGTCCCCGCAGCAACCAATCACAGGCACGCCACCTCCTCAGGGGCTCACTTTGGAGCCCCGCAGCCTCGTGGAACAGAATTTTCACCACATTTCTCATCGTTCATAGTTTGTGTCTTCCTAACACTCCACCATTTACCTTGACTCATGTTCTTCTATTGGTACCCTTGAAAATAAATGCACTTGAATTTGGGGTCTTGCACCTTCGTTTTCTGACCCTTCCATAAGCACTTCCACCAGCTCCCCCACACCTTCCAGGTGCAGAGAAATGTCCATTATAAAAAGCTTCTGTGCATTAGGCCTTACTGTGTGCCAGGCATTGTTGTAGGAGGGTTATTATGGATGAATTCTCACCATAACCTGATGGGGTTGTTACAGTTACTAACCACTCAACAGGGGAGAAAGCAGAGGCACGGAAAGTTAGGGAACTTGCTCAAAGCAACGTCACACGGCTAGCAAGTGGTAGAGCCAGAGTCTGTCCCCAGGATCTAGAGCCCACGTCCTTCGCCAGATGCCAACCGCCCTGTCTGTCCTCTGTGCCCCACGCAAAGCATCCTGCCAAGCACCGGAGAACGGCGCCTCCGCACGGCGGCTCCGGAATGCCCTCCAGCATGCCTTCCCTTCTGCCCCCTTCAAGGTCCAGCCCAGAGGCCCCTTCTCCCGTGAAGAATTTCCTGACTTCCTAGGGCATTTCCTTTTGTTCATCGGTTCCAGAATCCGGCAGGTTCCTAATCTTGAGCCTGCCCTGGAGACTGGGATCATCGTGGGAGCAGGACCGAGCAAATTCATCTGCGAATCCCCACGGTTGAATATCCTGAATCTCTCAATAGACCGGTCCAGCTCTCACGAACGTGCAAATGGCTGACGGGGCTTCATTCTGTTACCTTTACCGAGGGGCTATTTTCATTTCAACAGAGACAAGGCCCTCAGCCAGACAGTCAAGTCACCGTGGCAACATTCTAAGACTCAGTAAGTAGGAAGAGCATGTTTGTCTGTTTTTTCCGTATAGGGGAGAGGCTTCACCTCACCTTGGAAGCCACTTGGGGAACCTGCCTACTTGGGAAGCTCATGTGGTTCTGCAGTGACAGGAAGTGTGAGGGCTTCCGAAAGGAAGGGGACGAGGCTGTGTCTCCATAGGTGCCCAGAAGCTAGGGGAGGAAAGAAGACTAACATAGGCAGGAAATGAGAATCCTGGTGAACTGCCTGGAAGAGGAAGCCCTTTTCTTTCACAGTCACACTGGCCACCGTTCCCTGGCCTGGCGAAGGGCGGAAGCGGGTTATCCCAGTGCCACCTGCCTGCCGGCCCGGCCGGAAACGCCGCTCTGTCCCTGCCAGCGCCGCTCGGGGCCAGAGCTGGCACTGTTGTGGGGGCAGAGGCTCTTCCAAGGTCTCCCCCGGCTATAATTAGAACATTGCAGGGGATTTATTTTTAAGAAACACAAGCACTAGGGTGATGACTCAGCCGCATCTGCACTTGCCCAGAACCTCTCATCGCAGCCAGAGTGATTCTTTCAGACGGACTAAAATATTTCTCCAAACGCTTCCCCAGGCCCAACAAGGAAAAGAAATCAGAAGACTTTCTTTTGAAAGGCCCTCAGGCCGCCTTCTGTTTTACGGGAAGAGGGGTTGGGGCCTTTACGTTTGCTTTGCGCACTCTGAGGAAGCAGAGAATACAACCGCCAGTGGCAACCCCAGCTGCGTCTGTTCTCACATCAATGTATTCGGGGAAAATGAGGGTGACGCTTGACGGCCTGGTCCCACGTCTATGCTGAACCCCAACCTCGGGCCTGCAGTCCAGGGTCGGCTGAGACGGGCTACTCAGGAGGCAGGTTGGGGAGGAGAGGCAGGGGCCCCAGAGAAGGTATTCTGTGGGAAATGCTCCAGCGTTCGCCACTGCTGCCTAGGCCTCGGCATTGCAGGGAGGGCGGACCATCTCTGGGCGGCTCATTGAGTCTTTCACCCGCGTTGAGGCTGCCTCAGTGCCCGGAAGCGCTTCAGTCAGGATGCGGATGCCAGGGCAGACTCAGAACCAGAAAGTGGGCAGAGTGTTGGGGACCCAGCTGGGGATAACTTTGCATCCTGGGGATGAATGTAGGAGGTGGTGGGTGTCTCTGAGACTTAAGGTTTAAGAAAAGCAGCCGTGCCCAGCTAGCATGGCTTAGTGGTTGAGCATCGACCTATGAACCAGAAGGTCAAGGTTCGACTCCCAGCTGGGGCACATACCATATTGTGGGCTATATCCCCAGGGTGGGGCATGCAGGAGCCAGCCAATCAATGACTTACCCTCATTATTGATGTTTCTCTCTCTCCCTCTCTCTCTGAAATCAATACAAATATTTTGAATAAACAAATAAACTAATGAATAAATAAAAGCAGCAGCAGTAAATGGGAAGGAAGCCACCAGGGTTCCCCCTAAACCACGCAGTCCCTTCCAGGCCCCTCTGCCTCCACTCTGCTTGGCTGCTGTCAGGATGCATCAGAGGACCCGAGTGGCAGCGGGAAAGCAGGGCTTCTGAGACTCGCTCAACACTTACTCACAAGAATTGATTTAGAGCACTTTGTGCCAAGAACCTTCCAGGTTTGAGGATTACCAAGATAAACACTTCCTGTTCTCAGAGGAGCTAAATCCATTCCCCTT